GTTTACTTTTTTTTTTGTAATTTGAATTAATATAATATAATATAATACAAAGTATAGTGTTATAAATGTACATAAAAAACAAAAAAAAAAGTAAAAAAAAAACAAACAAACCGTTAAGCCATTAAAAAGGTCCATTAGTGGAATTTAAATTTTAACTGTTTCTATCATTTAGTACTATAACAGTAAACTACAGAAAATAAAGGTAAATTGAAATTCCATATAGCTATGTATCCTATATTTTTTCCTGAGTGAGTTTATTAAGGTGGACAAAGCAAATCAAGCTTGAATGAGAATAACTATTATGCTCAGAGGTGCTTAGATATAAATTGCCTGGCCCATTTGATCAACTCCATCCGCTATGAATGTGTTTTAGTAAGGGAAGTTTGTTTTTAATGTTATATCCATGTTAATGTCATAGAAAGAAAATCAGAGAAGAGATTTGTTATTGATTGCACTAATGATTTTGATAACACTTAAAAAATATTTAAACTTTAGAGTTTAGACCAAAAAAATGCAACCAAGGCAATATTAATATTCAATCATTAAATAATATTTAATATTCAATCATTTTAATGTACAGTATTTTTGTTTCGCTGCAATGAACCGAGACACCTGTCAGTGGGTGGCAGCAGTGAGCTGTGACTGACTCGTCCGCTCTAAATTACAATAGAAACAGAGAAAGAATTCTCACCAGGGCTATCTTCGGTTAGCTGTTTAATCTGCCTCTGTTGATGATTGATCAAGTATATCAGTATATGGGATATCCGATTCTATAAACGTCTGTTATCACGCAAGAGGATGTACTACAGATAATCGTGTCTAACGTAAGTAATAATGTGCAGTGCTATCTTGCTAGCATTCCTTGGCCAGTAGTAGAGTGTGTGTGAGAACAGACGAAACTTTTCGCCACGTTACCTTCACTTTGGTCTGTCGTTGAATAGAAATATACAGTTCTTATAAGTTATTATTACAGATATAATATGGGGACTCCTTTAATTGATTTTAACTTAAAATAAGTCCCAAAATCAATCTACTTTGTCTTCCCTTGTGTTTTTCTTTACCCAGTGTTTTTATATGCTGTTGTTGTGTATGTAACATTGACGATATCATGTGGGAAAACAGGGTGTCTTGTTAAGATATGTGGAAAAGCAAATGTTATATATATATATATATATATATATATATATATATATAAATATTACTATACTGCCTATCTATAGATAGATAGATATACTATATAAATACCTATAAATACCCCCCCCCCCCCTCCCCCTCGGGTTAGTGTTATAAAGGGGGTAATACAGTATAAAATGTATAAGTTCATGTAGTGAAACATTCCTGTAGGCTAAGTCTCTTTGAGCCATTCTGTCAACCTTGAATTAATTCAGGTGTGACCTGAGCTTTTTCTGCAAGAATTGATCATAATTCAACATCTGTTCTGATGGATACTTAGTCATTTGGACACACTTACTTCCTGTTAGACTGTATATCCCATGCTAATCGGTTAAAAGCTTATAGATGCTTTCTGGTTGGGGAACCGGATTATCATAATGCACATGATCACTTGTTCATCCAGTTCTATTGCAGAGGTGCCCAATCCTGTTCGTGGAGATCAACCCTACCTGCAGAGTTTGGATCCAAACCTGATTCAACACACCTGTCTTTGAATATCAAGGGCTCCTGAAGATCTGAATTAGCTGGTTCAGTTGTGTGTGGTCAGGGTTGGAGCTCAATTTTGCTGGGAGGTAGATCTTCAGGAACTGAAGATGCTAAATTGTAGGTGTGAGTGAGTTTGTGTGTGTGTGTGAGTCCCAAAGCTTGTACTGGGAAGAGTTAGGGAAAGACCTGGCAAAGTGGTAAGCTCAGAAAAATAATTGCTAAGAAAATTCATGGACAGTCTCTCAAGTATGGCAAGAGATGGCCATAGAATCCCTAAGAGTCGGATACGACTGAAAAGTTTAATGAGAGAAAGCGAGAGATCTCCAGGAACAGTTTCTATCGTGATCAGGTGGCTCTGGTCCTGTGCTCATCACTTATTCTTCCAGTAGATGGCACCATTTCGCTTTGTTTTTATAGGTTTAGTCTCATCTGACAAAGAGGTGCCTCAGTTTCAGATGCTTGTTTGTATTATTGTGAATGATCCCACTTTTAGTGATACAGCTTCCAGAACAGACTGCATGTGGTAGCTGTATCTGTATGTTTTGCCTTGTCTCTGACTCCGGTTGAAACACTTGATCGGCACTTTGCAAGTGTGTCTCTGTACATCTCTTCTTCACTCAGCCTTTTTAAAGACTGGCCGTATTTGAGACTCACATTGATAGGAAACACAGTAGCTCAACATGCCGTAACTGCTAAATCCAAAAAAGCAGCACTGATGTTGTTATGGCACCATTTAAGATCAATATTCAGTCAAAGTTAACAAAAAAAGAAAGAAAAGTACATAAAAGTAAATATATGCAGATACGTCTTAAAGGTACAATATGCAGGATTTTTGCAGTAAAATATCCAAAAACCACTAGGCCAATGTTATATATTTTGTTTAGTTGATTATTTACAATATCCCAAATGTTTCCAACTATTTGTAAATCGTGAGAAAATCGCGATTTTAACCAAGGAAACGGGGCGTGTGAGCAGGGGTGAGGAGTCGCCAGTCAATGACGTCATATCCGCGTTACCCCCGGTTTCCGCCAGGTTTGACCTCGTACTGCAATAGTAACCATGGCGACAGACGTTGACAACTGGGTTATGCCGGTTATGCCGAGAACAACATGACATCATGACTTTGCGTAAACATACACGCCACTTTCAAGTCAAGTGGCGTGTTATCTATACGCATTTTCAGCTATCCGCGTGTATGTCCACGCCGAAATCTTTTGCGTGTATGTCTACGCCATTAAATGTCCGAGTGATTCCGCGTGTATGTGTACGCCGTTAAATGTCCGAGCGAAACGAAGCAAACTCTATATCTACATCTTTGGAGCGATATTTCTTTTCCTAGGATGGTAGGAGAAGACTCATAAATGGTATTAACCCCAGTGACGGGTAGGTTTAGGGACGGGGTTGGGGTAGGGCATATATTTATATATACATAATACAGTAAGATAACGTTAAGTCAAAGGCGTTGATAAACACGCTGAAAAGCGATTATGCGTGTTGATAGCACGCCAAAAATGGAAATACGAATTGGCGTGTCATACATACGCCATTTCATGAGATCAGTCTGCCGAGAAGGACGCTCACGCTGTTGTTTTTTTGTTCAAACATTTTGGCAAGCAGACTTTGAGACAAAAAGAGGACTAAAACGAAGATCAACATCTTTCGAGATGCCGAGAGCTCCACTTCCGCGACTAACTTTGACTTGACAGAGACGCGAGTGTTGCATGTTACTTTATTAGACAGGTGAGCAAATGTACATAATGTTGATATAGCCTAGCTTACCGTCTCATACAGCCAACAAACAACCTAACTAACAACATTCCACCCACAAATGCCGTTTAGTGTGATACTGTAACTGCTCAGCCGCGGCTGACTGGATTGAGCGTCCAGCAAAGCTGCCAGTCTGATCACGGCCATTTGACTGCTTTAATTGGGATAAAATTCTCTAAAACGCCAATCATGCAAAAGAACATAATCATATCAACAGATGCCTAATAAATGAGCTAAAGAGGGAGGAACACAAAACACAAAAACGGCCAGTGGCAGCTCCTGCCAGCCAGCTGAAGATTGAACCCCTACTGTATTTTCTTCACACCTAAGGTGTTATCTCTGTTAACAGTGATGTAGTTCCTTCTTGATGTAGATCATAGGACACATCACTGTCAATGCAATGATTCAACTCTGCTTTAGGATGTAACAGCTGAAATGCACACAAACAGATCCTTGTCCACCACACCAAAGTTTAATGCTCTCAGCACACAACACACCCTTACAAATAAAAAGAGACACGCATGGCTAAAGAGATAATGCAGACACTGTCAATCCCATACAGGGTTAACTGTACCTGCTTCGTCACTCTTACTGTGGTGGAGGTCACGGGTTATGAGGACGTGGCTCTTTTACAGAGCACAATGAAAGAGTCACGTCAAATACTGCTTGAGCTAAAGGATTTTTTTTTTTGTCTGATTGATGTTGGATTGTTTCACTGCAAAGTAACTCAGAAATTCAGAGAAAAGAGTCATTTATGATAAACACATAAAAACACCCGTAAAATTCGTGCCATTTATTGTCGTATGGTTGATGTTAAATTGCTTAATTGTAAAGTAATTCAATGAAAAGAATCATTTATAATGAACAATTAAATTAAAATGGCTATCATTTGAAAATATCTTGTTTGTTTTCAATGATCTTTTATGTCATTGCATATCAGAATAGTTTTGTTATGTTGAATATTATTCATTTTACAAAGAAATTATTATAATGAATAGATAAATAAATATGAATATTTTCAGACCGGTCTTCAAAAATATGCCCCAAAGTTCCTATTTTTATTTGTAATGTCTGATACTGTATATTTTAATATAATAATTTATTCAAATATTCAATTACTTGATTAAATGAAAAAACATTTAACAAAAAAAAATATATTTTTCTGGTTAGAAAAAATAAAGCTAAAAAGGCCTCTGAAAACCTGTTTCAAGGTAAAAGAAAATTGCCATTTAGCTACAGAATCTGTTATTTTACCAGAATTGTGAAGGCTTTTAATATTTGCATCGGAATTGCAGTAATGTGATGGAATGTAAAAAGGATGTACACACACATGCTTCTCTGGTTATTATGTTAAAAGTTAATATTAATAATATGGCAGGGTGAGTTGTGTTAACAAATGCTTGGTAACTGTTGAGTGTATGTGTTTTTCCTTCCTCTGAACACTTGAAAAACTCCTTTCTGGACTGGAAGAGGATGCAGGGGCGGAGACACGTCTTGCCTCTCTCCCAGGCAGCCAATAGGTGTGCATGAGCTTTTCTGACTCCGCCCCCTGGGTTGTTCCTTGCCGTGCTGCTTTGTGTGAAGCATGCAGCGGGCCGCTGTCCTCTTCCTTTTTGCTTTAATGGCTGTCAGAGACACTGAATAGAGGAAGAGCAGCTAGAGAGGGGTTCTGTTTAATTCAGAAGGGAGCGGGAAAGAAAACACTGCACACACTATGATGCCAGGATATGCTAGAAACCCACACGTGAGTCAGATGCCATTTTGTCATTTGCTTTTCCTCATTCCTTCTGCCTCCTTCCATCACTCCCTCCCTCCCTCCCTCCCTCCCCCGTTTGTAATGATTAGGGTGCAGCTAGAGTCTCGTGATGCCTTTTAGCAGGGATGATGAGTGTGTGAGCTGGAAACATGGTGGATTTATGGTCTTGATGTGGACACTTAGTCAGAATGACTTCTGGTTTTTATTTTTATGTAGAGAATGCAACAGAAACACAGGGGTTGGTTGGACAGATGAGCAGTGCCCTATGTAGGACAACTGTGATGATTTCCCAAAAGGCCTTGCACTGCCTTAAACCATGCCATATGCCGTTGTAACTTCATTTTTGGTGGACGTGTGGGAGTTGGCCCTGAAGATGTTCTATTGAGAGCTCTTAATAGAACACAGACATTGTACTGTCTGAGACCTTGTTCATGTCATACCACGGTTGTAAAATCATGTGCGAGTGAGTATTCACGAAGTGAAGTGTCTTTAAATCAGTCATTTTAATGCAGTTTTCTTCTGCCTGAAGAATGTTAAGCTTATTATGTTAAGGTTAAGCTTATTTCACAATTAAACCACCTTTAAATGTTTGTGGTCAGTAAGTTTTTTTTTTTTTTTTTTTGAAATACTTTTATTCAGCAGGGATGCATTACATGGATCATAAGTGAGGGTAAAGACATTTGCGTTTATTACAAAAGATTTCTACTTCAAATAAATGCTGTTTTTATCTAATCATCAAAGGATCCTGAAAGAACCATGGTTTCCACAAAAATATTAAGCAGCACAGCTGTTGTCAACATGGATAATAATAAGAAATGTTTCTTGAGCACCAAATCAGAATATTATAATTATTTTTCTGATAGTTCATGTGACACTGAAGACTGGAGTAATGCTGAAAATGCAGCTTTGCCATCACAGGAATAAATTATATTAAAACAGTTAAATTAAATTGTAATAATATTTTATAATTTTACTGGGTTTTTTTTATTCAAATAAATGCATCCTTGGTGAGCATAAGATCATTGTTTTAAAAACATAAAAAAATGGTAACACTTTAGTTTAGGGTCCAATTTTCACTATTAACTAGTTGCTTATTAGCATGCATATTACTAGGATATTGGCTGTTTATTAGTACTTATAAAGCACATATTAATGCCTTATTCTGCATGACCATATTCTACATCCCTCTAATTAGGAGTTTATTGAGGCAAAAGTCATAGTTTATAGTGAGAATTGGATCCTAATCTAAAGTGTGACCCAACAAATCTTAACTGACCTCAAACTTTTGAAATTTGGCAGTTTTGATCTTACCTAGGCAATAAACAGTTTGCTGTGAAGCGCGCACACACAGCACACTGAAAATATTTGTTGATTCTTTCATTTAATTAAAAACAAATTTCCGTTCATTTGATCCAGTTTGACGAATTTGATTCTCTAACTTTCGATTCTCTGTCTCTGTGACATGTCAAGTATTACAGTTGAACTGTAAGTAGCCTACATTTCACAGTGTCACATGATATTGAAAAATTAATGTAAAGCACAATATGACTGCTTTGTCTTATAAAATTATCATTTTGAGAGCGGATAATTCTGCAAGCATATTTTAAATTAGATTTTTTTTAAATGCATTACCTAGATACTTTTTTGCTAATTTTCAAACTAAAGTAAAAATTTTTTTTTTTTTTTTTTATGAACTCAACCTTCACATCCACATGCAATACATACTGACAAGATCTTCGATACACCTCTTTAAATTGTAAGAACATGAAACATCTTGGACATCTTTATTTTTTCATTGAATCAGTTCCATTTCATTTAGGCTAAGGGATAGTTCACACAAAAATGAATATTTGGTCATCATTTACTCAGCCTCAAGTTGTTCCAAACCGGAATGTCTTTCTTCTGCTGAACACAAAAGATGTCTTGAAGAATGTCACCAATCAGGTTATCAGTAACCCATTGGGTAAACGCTTTAAGCATTCAGTTCTCTGTGGAACTGGTTTGGCAATTAGTTCTGACAATTTAAATTTGACATTTGATTTTCCTGTCGTCTTTGGCTTTGTGACAGAAGACGACGACTCAAACCACAAAAATTGAACATATTTGCATTGGCTCCAAGACACACCCTTGTGGCATTCCTGTGTGTTTGGGATAGTTTTCTTTTGAGTATGGTTAAAAGCCTCTAAATATCTCTCTTAACAATAATAATAATGCTGTATGAAATCATATTATGACAATATGCTCATCTTAAATCAAATCAGATAAACATAACTATTTGCTTTGGCATTAAAATTATATTCTCGCTGTATGATGTCATTTTTTTGTCTTAAATGTAATTAAAAATGTAATTCATATCCCTTTCTTGATTCTCAAGGGTTTACATTTTATTTAAATGCAATACCTCATAAAGCCAACAGATTCATATTTGATAAATGAATTTCTAAGGCGGCCTCTAAATTATCAGCGTGATCAAAACTTTGCTGAAAAACTTGTTGTACACATACGTGACTTCTGTGGAGGTGACTTCTTTAATCATTGCATAATATGTTTTACCCCCACAATAAAACAGAGCTTTGATCATAAAACTAAGCGTTTAAATATCATCTTATCTTATGGGAGATAAAGAGGTGTCAAATCGATAATAATGTGTGTGTATATTAATAAAATAAGCAATAAAGTTTACATTATCAGATTTTCATCTTCTTTTTTGGGGCTTCTGAATAAAACTGATGTGTTAGTTCCATGTTTCCATATATCATCCTAAATGGGCATAAAAGCCTGATGTATCTGACACACACCATAAAACACATTGGCAAACTTTTTATATTTTGTCTAAAGGTTCAATAAGCTGACTTTGACTGGTTTGGTCATTTTATCGAAATGCAGTGGGACATTTACACTCATAATGATAGCCCCTTTATTCCATGTACTTCACCCCTTCTGCTTTCCAGTTGTTTGCTTTTTCCCTATCTCCCAGATTTGAAAAGTTTAAATGGTCAATGTCCAAATACAGAAACAAGCGTTTGATGGTGTCTCTCCTCTTGCATAGAAAGGGCGTTTAGAATAAAGAAAGTAAAGAATTAAAGTCATTAGTTAGGCAGGTCGCTTTAGTAAGTTTTATATTCCTCTATGAAGTGACTAGCAAAATATACTTCTTTTCTTTCCTTATTCTGTTTTCATGCCTCAGAGTGTTCAGGTCAGGAATACTCATGTAAGTATGATCCTTCTCGATTTGGCAAAACGGCATGAAAGGCTTGCTCTGATTTACTACAGTTCTGTTTCATTATGTTTTCTCTTTTATTTAAACGCTGTCATTCAAAAGTTTATCGGGATTTGTAATTGTTTTTAAAAAAGTCACCTTGTACTCACCAAGGCTGCATTTATTTGGTAAAAATACAATAAAAACAGTAATATTGTAAAATGTTGTAACAAAATAACAGTTTTCTATTTTAATATATTTAAAAATGAAATGTAGTCCTTTGATGGAAAAGCTGAATTTTCTGCATCATTACTCCAGTCTTCAGTGTCATGATCCTTCAGAAATCATGCTAAATAACCATTTCTTATTATTATCAATGTTGAAAACCATTTTGCTGCTTTTGGAAACCGTGATTTGTTTCAGGATTCTTTTATGAATGATATAAATAAGAAAGTTCTTTAAAAGAACAGCATTTATTTGAAATCTATCTGAAATCTTTTATAACATTATAAATGTCATTATTGTTACTTTTGATCAATTTATTGCAGCCTCGCTGAATAAGAGTATTAATTCCTTAATAAAATGTCAGACCCCGAACTTTTGAACGGTAGTGCATAAAACAGATCGATTTTGATCAATACAGGGTTCAAGCTATGCTGAAATATTTGTATAACTTTAGTTTACATGTCAGGGACTATATCTTCTAGTGGAAGAATGGCGATTAATTAGCTAAATAAATTTTTAAAAAATTGAATAATGATTTTCTTATGTTTTTGTAAAGCAATAAAGTGCATTTAGCCGTGACAAAATTCGCATATTCATTCTTCTTTTTGTTTTCTCAGAATACCATATATATTTGTAATCATGTTCCTCATTTAGGAGCTTTATTATCTGAAGACCCAGCGAGCACAGGAGAAGATGGAGCATTTGGAGAAGGGGTTGAAGCAACGACTACGGGTGTGCGTGGCCACCTGTAACAGAGCGGACTACTCTAAACTCGCCCCCATCATGTTCGGCATCAAGTCTCAACCTGAAATCTTTGACCTGGAGGTGGTGGTGCTGGGTTCACATCTCATTGATGATTACGGGTAAGGCTGCGGAACATAATAAGTCATATCATCTGTTAAACTAATCTACATTCAATTGTTGAAGGGAAAGTAGATATCAGAGGGGTCGTCAAACATAACTAAATTTGTAGTTATAAAACTAAACCGATAAATCGGTTTTGTCATTTCAAACCTGAAATGCTTTCCTTTCCTTCTGTGGAACACAAAAGTAATTTCATCCATGCATTAAAAAGTCATTGGGGTCCCATTTTGTTTTGGTCGCTATTGGTGTTCATTGTATGGACAAAAACAGTTGAAACAATAGCCGCTTTTCCACTGTCGGTCCAAACCGTTCTCATTGCTTAACCCTTCCATTCTGTGACGATCCGGCCCATCTGGTAAGGAATATGGTTTAATTTTCCACAAATATTATGTAAACAAACTTTTGTGTTAGATGCAATTAATCGATTTCACTTTAGAAATGTAACTTTTCACTCACTTTTTCTCATTTAAAAAAAACCCCCAGTCATAATCAATAAATGTAATTTCTTATGTTTTTTTGGATCAGTATTTATTTATTTATCCTTATTAATTTAGCTTCAAATACAGTGTCTGAATGTTATTTACATATAAAAGCAGCTATTGTATTATTCATGATTGAGTAGTACCGTATCTAATGGAAACTTATTTTTACTGTTAGTTACTTGAGGCAAAAGAAGTTAGAATGAAGGATATTTGGCATTTCAACACAACTTCTGTTAACGCATTTGAAGGCTGCTATTGGAATATTGAGGGTAAACGTCATATAATGCTACTACGCATTACTTTACGGAGAGCTTACGACCTACTAGCTAAATGGTGCAACCGAATAAAGTACAGACAGAGTTAGTTACAAACTAGCTAGTAGTTACTAAGCCTCGTAAGTGTGGACTTTACGTTCCAACTTAAGAACGTGTGAATGGCTGGTGCAACCCTTCCCTGGGCATGAGAGCTTCGAAACATGAATCAGCACTATTTCTCACTGTTGCCATGGAAATGTTGGAATGTAGCTCTTGACGGTGGGAGTTTGGCTCTCACAGTGGGCTGCGGATGGTGGCTAGAAACCCTTGTCTTTAATCAATGAACCCAAACCAGCCTTTACTCCTCCTTGGGTCAAAAAACCTTGACATTACCTTTATTATTCTATTTCAAAGAAAATGGAAAACAAGCTGTCTCTTACCATGCACACTACATACTTAAAAAAATATGATTACTTTTTAAGAATGCAAGTCCATTTTTAATATGTTCAACATTCGAACATACAGAATTGTAACATACAGCCATCACTGTATGTTAATATTTGCTGCATGTGTCTTGTAATATTTGTACACTGTCTGAAACCTAATTGATCTTCTTTCTTGCATTTATTTCCATACTGAATTGTGATTGATCTTTTATTTCTAACAGCTTTTAAACGCGATTGCTCTTTGATGCAGTTTAGGGCTGCAACAACTAATCTATTAAAAACATCAATAATAATCGATCATGGAAAAAAATCGACAACCAATTTTATCTTCAATTAATTGCATCTGCAGAAAACCTCCACCAGTTCACCCACATTTACAGCAGTGAATAATGCATTTCTATGGACAAACAGGAACGATGTAAAGTGAGCTGCTGTGGGAAAAGTGTAGAACCCAAGTTGTCCTAAACATGAGAATGCATAATACATTAAAAAGCTTTCAAAATTGTTTTCCTCAGCGCACGGTTTCAGATGCCTTTTTAAAGACTACAATTGAAAAATGGATGTATTATAAAATTCAACCTACCAAAGTGGCTTGTATTTGGCGGGTTTGGTGGATGTTAATGTCAAGCCCTGGCTGCGATTATTTAAAATTTGCATCTGTCAAAGCCTGTCCTGACAGCAAGTGAGTCTTTGCTAAACTTCACATACCTCACTGGGCAGGATGTGGAATAACAATTTAGTAAATAATTGATTCAAATGTATTTATTTGTTAATAATAATACATTTTCCATCCGATTAATCGAAGAAATAATCGACAGATTAACCAGTTATTAAAATAATCGTTATTTGCAGCACTAAGTCATATTTAAAAGATTCTTTTTGTCTTTCTCTTTCCCAGAAACACGATCCGTATGATTGAGCAGGATGAGTTTGATATCGGCTCTAAATTGCACACCATTGTTCGTGGTGAGGACGATGCTGCCATGGTGGAGTCCGTGGGTCTCGCGCTCGTGAAGCTTCCCGACGTGCTCCAGCGTCTCGCCCCTGACATTCTGCTCGTTCACGGCGACCGTTTTGACGCGCTGGCCTTGGCGACGGCAGCGTCTCTAATGAACATTCGCATATTGCACCTTGAAGGTGGAGAAGTAAGCGGAACCATTGATGATTCAATTCGTCATGCCATCTCCAAACTGGCCCACTACCACGCCGTCTGCACCCGCTCAGCCGAGAGACACCTCATCTCCATGTGCGAAGACCACTCTCATATCTTATTGGCTGGCTGCCCGTCGTACGACAGGCTGCTCTCCGCCCACAAACGAGACGATTATGCTGATATCATCAAGTCTTGGATTGGTATGTAAATGAATGGGATGAGATAACAGTAGAGATAAGCAATGAAGCCTATGCAATCCAAAGAGTTAAATAGCGCAAAATGATAACTACTATGAAGTTTGGTTAAAATGATACTCTCATTTATGCATATGTGGTTCTTTGTTAAACAGGGGATGAGGTGAAGGAGCAGGACTATATTGTGGCCCTGCAGCATCCTGTTACCACAGACATCAAGAACTCCATTAAGATCTACGAGTTAATGCTGGAGGCTATCATCTCCTTCAACAAGAAAACTCTCATTCTTTTCCCGAATATTGACGCAGGTCAGCTGTTTCGCTCGTTTTCTGTTTTTCTTTCTCTCTGACCCTTCACACTTTTTGTGCCTCAGAAGATTATACACACATTTTCTGCCCATATATACAGCTTTGGTTTCTGTCAGATTGAAAGGCTTAATGTGACCCTCAGCGGCAGCCGTCTAAGATACTTGCAAGGGCTCTAGAGACAGACAAAACAGCCATGGTTTGTTTTGAGTTTGGTGTTAATGACAGGTAGACACAACTGGAGGGAACAGTCAAAACAGAGGTGCTTTTTTGTTATAATGTCTGTTTACAGAAACACAAGGAGTTTAAACAATAAAATGGCCCTGCCAGTGAGGAAAGGTGATATGACCAAATTTTATATCATAGTACAAGTATTTAGTTGGTTTTGCTGTAACTTTAACAAAAAAACTCGGTTTTAATATAATGTAATGTAATAATTGTAGTGTGAATTGAATGCAATTGTATAGTGACTATGTGCTATTAGTATTTACTGTAACTTCAAAGAAGTTCTGTAAAAACTGCAAACACAATATAAATATAATCCATGTTAATTTAGTATTAATTATATTCTATTATAGTATTTATTATTCATTTTAAATTAGCTTTTATTTTTGTATTTTCAATTTTGGTTTGAGTTTTAGTAATTCTAATTCTAAAAAGTTTTTTTGTCATTTTTTAATATTTCTAATTAACTTTATTTCAGTTTGAATAATTTTAGTATTTGAACTTAAACTTAGTTTTATTTGCAATTTTTTAATCTAATATTTATATTTTATTTCAGCTTTATTTAAATGAATTATTATTATTTCTGTTTTAATAGTTTTATTTAACAATAGCACTGAATATAATATACGTATATATATATATATATATATATATATATATATATATATATATATATATATATATATATATATATATATATATGTATATATATATATATATATATATATATATATAATAGTCTGAATTGAATGTGATGAGAAAAAGTGACTGTGTGACAAAATACACCTTTCTATGAAATTGTGACTCTTATGAGGCAGTACTAATGAATTGTTAAAAACCCCCCCAAAAAAACAACCTCTTGACTTGATGTGAAACAGTCTTAGAATTAACTTGTCCTTAACTTCCCTGAATGAACTCCCTGAATAAAGAGGCGTAGGAGAATTCCGCCCCATTAATGCCATACTGCTCTGCGTTTGTCTCATGTAGGCAGTAAGGAGATGGTTCGTGTGATGAGGCGGAAGGGAATCGAGCAGCATCCGAAATTCCGTGCGGTAAAGCATGTTCCGTTCGATCAGTTCATCCAGCTAATAGCACATGCCGGCTGCATGATTGGGAACAGCAGCTGTGGAGTTCGTGAGGCCGGAGCTTTCGGGACACCTGTCATTAACCTGGGTACTCGTCAGACGGGTCGAGAAACAGGTGAGATTAGATACGAATATGACTTACTGACCTTTAGAGATAAGAGTTAAGGCATTATGGCAGGATATGATCACTATTTTACTGTTTTGTTTTATAGTTTTTCATTTAGATCCTTGAACTGAACTGCTTTTTGTTTAATTGAGTGTCTTTAGTATTTGCCTTGATGGACCCGGTTTACCAATTCATAATATTTTGAAAATAGGGGAAAATGTTCTACATGTGCGAGACGCAGACACGCATAATAAAATCTACCATGCTCTGGAGCTGCAGTTTGGAAAACGCTACCCCTGGTAATGAGCTCTTTTTGTTACATTTTAGGCATCTTCTATTTGCATGCATCAATATGCAAGCATCAGATATCATGATTGTAATGCAGTTCTTAAAAATAATCAAAAATATTAGTATTATATACTATTATAGTATTTATTCATATTTTGAATGTTTATTGTAATATTTTCAGAACCGAAAAAATAAAGTATGGAATGTTGTACATGTCATGAACTCAATTCACAGCTTTAATTACATAGAGCAGGGGGATTGAGCAATCAGACTTTTGAATGAAAAAAATAAACGTATAAAGTTCATACACTACACGGTTGCATACATTGTGCATAGGTGAATAGTGCGTAATTGGGATACAGCTTCATATTCTCAACATGTCCTGTGTGTTCTTGTTCTATCCACTAGCTCCAAGATCTATGGTGATGGAAATGCAGTCCAGCGCATCTTGAAGTTCCTTCAAGCCATTGACCTGTCTGAGCCACTACAGAAGAAGTTCTGTTTCCCTCTGGTGAAGGAGTGTATTTCTCAAGATATTGACCACATTCTGGAGACACAGAGTGCCCTTGCTGTTGACCTGGGGGGGACCAACCTGCGTGTCGGCATCGTCAGTATGAAGGTATGCAGAGCGAACCTCTGGATTCAGATGTTGACATCCAATTATTCTTTAGGACATGTCATTAACGTCAGGAAGTGTGAGGCGGTAAAATACAAGGAGTGGGACGTGCTGTACATCAACACAGTTGTGCCTGCTTATGACAGGATGTGTGTGTTTGCCCAGTTGTGATGTTTAACTGTTTTTTATGCAGCAGGATATGCAGCATTTACGTCAATATTTCATTCACATGAACTCTGACTGTAAAACAAACAGCGGCAGGTTTGATCAGAAGGGTTGTGTAATCAGGTCTTTCTGTGTGTGTGAATGGTGCAGAACAAGTTTTCTGGGCCACAGATTGAGGGACACACCCTTAAACTATGTAATTAATTTAATTTAATATTTGGCCACGGTGAAGCATTACTGAATTTAAATGCACACTTTTGGACTGATTTCTTTTTACAATATTACTTAAAAGTTGACTAAAAATATTTTAAAACAGAAAATATCCACTATCCATTTATATGCTGTTGCTAGATATTAAAGTCGGCATGAAACGGATGTTGCGATAGTCTTTTCTTCCCTATTTTGATCTGAGTGACACGGCTTCTCAAAAATGTAGGACGGGACTTGATTTTGTCTGTCAAAAATTGATTGGAAATTTAATTGATTGGTTGTGGTTTGCTATTGATGCGATGTCATGTGAGTGACAGGTTGTCCCGCCCACACGCCAGTAAACATGTCATCAGAGAAGAGAAGAAATGTCACTGCAAGAGGGGAGGGGAAGCAAAAATATGTCACAAGGAGAGATTATTGAAATGCTCTTTTTAATTTGCATGTACAAAATTGCCGTTCAAAAGTTTCGGGTCTGTAAAGTTTTTTTTTTTTTACTAAGGCTGCATTTTTTAAAATAAAAAATACAGACAATATTCAATATTATTACAATTAAAAAAATAACCGTTTTCTATTTAAATAAATTTTAAAATGTAATTTATTCCTGTGATGCAAAGTTGAATTTTCAGCAGGTCAAGAAACATTTATTTTTTAGAAACATTTCTTCTAATTATCATTATTATGATCAACTGTGCTGCTTAATATTTTTGTGAAAACTGCAATAAAAAAAAAATTCAGGATCCTTTGAGAAATTTCAAAAGTATTTTCAGAAAGTACATTTTATTTTATTTTATTTGAAATAGAAATAGCTTTCTTTACTGTCACTTTTGATCAATGTCATGCATCCTTGCTGAATAAAAGTATTTATTCATTTTAAAAAAGTCTTTAGTTACTAATCCCAATTTTGAAACAGTAGTGTATCTTGCGGAACATGGTTGGGGTAAGAAATTAATGGTAAAAAGTAATTTTTTCTGTAATATTTAATTGTCATGGTTTAATAGCTGGTTGTTGCTTCATTATTTATATATATATATATATATATATATATATATATATATATATATATAATGTTTTTTTTTTTTTCATGTAAATGTATGCTTGTGTTTCAGGGTAAAGTGGTTAAGAAGTATGTCCAGTTGAATCCTAAGACGTTTGAGGAGAGGATAGAGCTGATTCTGAGCATGTGTAAACAGGCCATGGTTGACGCCGTTCACCTCAACTGCAGAATCCTGGGTGTCGGTATGTCTGCGTTTTACCCCCCCATGTCTCCTTCTATACTGTCCATACATTTACTCAATCATTAACTGTCCAGTTTTTGGCATTTCTTTCAGGTGTGAGTACAGGGGGGCGTGTGAACCCACAAGATGGGGTGGTCCTCCACTCCACCAAGCTAATAAACGAGTGGAGTTCGGTGGATATCCGTACACCTCTCTCGAGCGCCCTTCATCTGCCCGTGTGGGTCGATAATGATGGTAACTGCGCAGCCCTCGCTGAGAAGAAGTTTGGCCATGGGAAAGGCGTAGAGAACTTTGTCACCATTATCACAGGAACCGGTTTGTTTGCTTTCTTATGTCCTTTACTGCTGTTAGTTGCTAGGGTGGGGGGGGGTTTGCAGACAATGAAGATAAAGAGACCAGACAGGAAGTGGATTTAGAACCGTCAGACTGGTGACACTGGTTGATCAGGTTACCACAATACATTAAAATAAAATACCACAATCAAAATAAAGCTTTGCCATCACAGGAATAAATTACATTTTAAAATATATTGAATTATATTACTATTTTACTATATTTTTGATTAAATAAATGCAGCCTTGGTGACCATAAGAGACTTCTTTCAAAAACATTTAAAAATATTACAGACCCTAATGTTTTGAGCATGAGTGTATAATTTATAGTTATTTTTTTCCTGATTGATCACTTAGATTTTTCTCATAACAGAGTTATGAAATTTGATAAAAGACTTCTGAACCGTTATTTTGCATTGCACACTAAACATTCAAATATGTCAAATATTGGGACTGTTATCCTGTTAATATTGTCTATAGTAAGTCAGGGGAACAAACATGGCACACTAATTATATAGTTTTCTGAAAATGAACCAGAAAACATTGTGAAATTATGGTTTTCTCTCTAAGTGATACAGGTGTGTGTTTTATGGAAGCTTGTTTCTGCCACAGAATAAAAAATAAAAAAGGTAATTGCAACTTTTTATCTCACAATTCTCAGAATTGCATGACGTAAAGTCGCAATTGCGAGTTATAAAGTCAGAATTGCGAGATATATTATTGTTACTATAACTTGTCAGAATTGTGAGATATAAAGTCCATTTCTAAGGGGAAAAAAGACTGACTTTATTTCTCGTAATTGCGAGTTTAGATCTCTAATTTGCAATTGTGTTTTAAAATGTTTTATTGTGGCAGAAACAAGCTTCCATAGTGTTGAGTATATGAGAATTAGAGGTTCCAGCTTCCTGTTTGATCACTATGCAGTGTATCTGCATAATTGAAGACTGACGCTGATATAATTGTTCCTTATGTCTGACTGCTGTAAATTCTGCCTGTATATACCTTTGCCTTGTGTTTGTATGTACAGGAATTGGAGGTGGTATAATCCAGCATAATGAACTGATCCATGGCAGCACATTTTGCGCGGCTGAGCTGGGACACATCGTGGTCTCGCTAGAAGGACCAGAGTGCATGTGCGGCAGCCACGGCTGCATAGAAGCCTACTCATCTGGTCTCGCCCTGCAGAGAGAAGCCAAGAGACTCCATGACGGTGAGATGACCCCAAACTCCCCCCCCCCACACACACACGCACGCGCACACACACACACACACACACACACACACACACACACACACAAACACCAATAATTGCGCTTAAGTAGGCTTAACAGCCTCACCCTCTGTCACAGTTTTTCCTTTTCAGTTGGCAGTGAACAACTAAACTGGTCAGTATAACGTCACAGTTAACAGTGGTGTAATCCCTCACTGTTGTTTTTCACATTTCTGTATGATCATTTTTACCATACCAAAGCTTAACATCCAAACATTAACCCACTCAAAAATGTTGCTTTTGTATTTCTGTTTTGAAATTTCTCCAAAAGCCTTTATCTATTCATTCTTTAAAAACAAAAACTGACCTACCCTGATTTGAGAGAGGAATCGCACTGCATGCTGGAGTAAAAGTAGAAACACCTTTTTTTTTTTTAAAGCTTGTCTCAACAAAATAATGAAAACGGTTCTTGGAAGTCTGTTTTATTTTAGTGACACTATTTGAATTTATGTTAACAACATTTTATAAAAAGGTCCAATTAATGCATTAAATAACATTTCAATGAGCAATAACATCTGTTACAGTATTTATTAGTCTTTGTTAATGCTAGTTTAAAAAATCAAGTAAATAATTTTAACAGATACATTTTGATTTTATATTATTAATATTATATAATATGTATAATGTCATTGTAAATGTTGAAAAAAAAGTGAACTAACAATGAAAAATACTTTATTAATCTTAGTTAATTTTAACAAATAAAACCTTATTGTAAAGTGTTACTGAATATATTTATTAATTAAAATATTTTATGAGATTTGTATTTAAATGAATTTGCTCAACAACAACACCAAAATCACTGAATTTTATGGATTAAAATGAATTACAACTGTTCCCACAAATCACTGTTCTGCATTTTACATTATTTTCTTTTTAGCCTTTGCTACCTTATGAGGACTGGAAATTATATATTAACTATGATATGATATATGATATAGGCCTATTATATAAATGATATATGATATGATATGATATTTGTTGTCATTTAATTTCGAGTTAATAAGATACAAAGTTGCTTCCTAAAACTAATAAACACTGAACCTTGATTTAAAAGAAGAGTTGTACGCAACAAATGCATTTCCAAGTAAAATGTGACACATGTTTCTTTCACATTTGATGACAGAGGACTTGCTGTTGGTGGAGGGAATGACTGTGAATAACAAAGAACAAGTGAATGCTATTCATCTGATCAATGCTGCTCGCCTCGGCAACTCCAAAGCTGAGAGCGCACTTCACACTGGTAGGACGCACATCCGAGTACATACATTATTCTCGGGCCGGCTTGTGGTGAAGAAAAGCACTAATAGTCTCTCTTCTCTTCCCTGACAGCGGGTACTGCTCTGGGTTTGGGCATTGTGAACATCCTGCACATGATCAACCCGTCTCTAGTGATTTTGTCTGGTGTCCTGGCAGAGCATTATGAGAATCCAGTTCGTCAGGTCATCAGTCAGCGCGCTCTGCTCTCGGCACAGGGGACCAAGATCATGATGTCTGAGCTGGAGGATCCTGCCCTGCTGGGCGCCGCAAGCATGGTACTGGACTACACCACACGCCGTACCTACTGACGGAGCTCGAAAACCAGGAACCAGTCAGTTACAGACTTAACGACCGAGGGCCAATCATCTGTTACGTCATAGTGGCTCATAGGATCATAGTGGCTTTTTAAGCCTGACGAGAAAAAGCTTTTATTTTTTTTTACTAGTTTTTATTATTTGGGATCAAATGCTTGATGAAAGGTGTGTAATTTTGAAGAATAATTTAAGTATATGAAGTAAGGTTTTTATTTAATATTTGAACGGTGGAACTAAGGGGTATTTGTTACTGAGAAGCTGCTATGGTGACCTGCTCTGTCTTGCTTTCTGTTATTTGTGTTTTTTCATGGAGACAGTCATGTTCTCCGTTGCGCCTTACTGTATGTTGATCTGTTGCCAATCCTTTTTTGTCTTCAGCACCATATGTTTAGTTTTCATTCAACCTACCTGTATGAATAACTGAAAGAAGTTTGTCTGTTTACTCTAATTTAATATTTTATTTTTGAATCACAGAAGTTGAACTTGTAAAATAATTTACATTATGTACATTAAATCAATAAACACACAATTTCTTATTATGGCCATTGAACTGATTTATTATATTATAGTCCCATAATACATGCATAAACTGAAGGATATCTGCAGAATATTGAAATATTTATATTAGTTTATTTAAATATACAAAAACTATTCTGTTTGTTTTGCTTTGCACATGAAGAAAATAATGGTTTTAGAATTAGAAGTATATATTTTTTGTTTTTGTTTATTTTTTATTTAGTATGTTTTTTCTTTCTTTTATACATTTATAATAATAATACGTTTTATTTATATAGCGCATTTATCTTGTTTCGTCCTTCTCAAATGACTCAAATAAACATTTGGATACAATTGGTCATCTGAACTGATTACATAATTACACATGTATTGAGACCTATTTGTGTAGCCTTTTGGGTTTCCTATGCTTGTAACGTTAATATCCTGAGCGGAGCAACCTAGAAGCAAATGTTGAGCTGTAAGCGATTTCTGTACCTCTGCAAAAACAGAACAAAAATTCATTTTCCGTTATTTGGCCAAGCAGACACTTCACAATTATACAATACACAATATACAACTCTGAAATATACAAAGAAACCATAAACAGCACAGATTACAAAATGTGGCAAAATGCATCACTGGACTAAAATACGAATGCGATTTTTAGTAGGTTTAACTTACTTTATATGTTAAAACATCACATATATAACAAAACAACACAAAAAGATGAATAATAAAAAAGTTCAGGACTTCTATTGAAGCGAAAAGATAAGGTCTTTTATTTCGAAAAATGTGGGCGTGTGCACAAATGAACCCGGAAGTTCTACGTTCTCTTTCGTCGAGGCATTTGACGCGTGTAACCAAAGCAGTGAGACGACTCACCCGCTGTCATTTCTGTAGATTTTTTTGCCGTGTTTTTGCACTTGGATTTAAAATGCCTCTTGAATTTGAGTTATGCCCCGGTCGCATGATCGGAGGAAACAACCCGTGTTTCATTATTGCAGAAATCGGACAGAATCATCAGGGAGACATTGAAAAAGCCAAGCAAATGATCAAGATGGTTAAGGTAAGAGTGGATTTGTATTATCAAAATCGATATAGTACATTTATTATTGGCTGTAAGCCTGTGAATTTAAATAATTGTTTCGGGAATTGTTTAGTTAGTGTTTGCAATAGTTTTTAAACGTAATTCGCAGCAGTCAGTGTTCCTGAAATGATCATTCAGAATGCTTCATCTCAAATCATTCAGAAGGCAAAACACTTCCTCACACTTCGGAAGTTTGTCGTAGAGTATTTTAAGCCATAACTCTACATATAAAGCAGTTTAATAATAATCATTAACATATCTTTTACACATTATAGATACAGGTGCTATAAACAGTGAAATGAGTTATGATACTGATTTTAGTTTCTTTTCCGAAAGATACTAGTCTACTCCATGAGTGCATTCTGTAAATTCCATTCATAATGGAATTGTTGAATAAAAAAATAAAAATGTTTTAATAATCCACCATATTAGCAGAAATTGTTATTTTTAGATTGACTTTTCTTATTTTTGTATAAAACCATTTCATTTTTTTCTCTCTCATCTTTATATTTAAGGTCTCGTTGTTTCACTTTTCTGATATTATTTCATTGTATGGAACTATTTCTCCTCTACTAGGACAGTGGGGCGGACTGTGCGAAGTTTCAGAAGAGTGAGCTGGAGTATAAATTCAACAAGAAAGCGCTGGAGCGGCCGTACACCTCCAAACATTCCTGGGGGAAAACATACGGAGAGCACAAGCGCCATCTCGAGTTCAGTCATGAGCAGTACAGAGAGCTGCAGCAGTACGCCAGAGAACTGGGCATCTTCTTCACCGCGTCAGGAATGGACGAGGTGAGCCCCAGAACGCATGCGCAAATTATTTTCATATGTTTGTTTTTTGGCTTTAGGCTTACTGTTAGCTAGGAAAGAAGACACGAGCCTGCCGAACCCATCAAATAGTGATGTAATGCAATTCCAAAATGTCTTGTGTATTATTGTTTTAACTATTGTTACATCACGTTTGTCATGTTATGATCACAGCTGCCCCTTACGGTAGCGGTACCATGGTACTTTGATAAATGGCACTAAACTATATTTGTATACCACAGCATTTACTTAGTACTTATCAAGAATGCAATGGCACATGTAAAAAAAATGTGTTTTTCTGTCTTTAAGATGGCTGTAGAATTCCTGCATGAGCTCAATGTGCCTTTTTTCAAAGTTGGATCTGGAGACACCAACAACTTCCCCTACCTCAAGAAAACTGCGCAAAAAGGTCTCCATAGTTTTTTCTTTATTTTATATTTTAACAGGGACAATGGGCAGTCAATGACTACCCCAGAATTAGCTTACAGAGCTACATTTCATCTGCAGTTCCTGGGCAGGAGAGACTAAAACACATAACATAACTAAAACATTCATCAGCAATAACATATACAATAAAAATTCTCACCTAAAAGAAAGTACATTTCAAATAATATAGTATAAAAAAATACTTTCAAAAACATTACCCAATAATAAATATTACATCTAAAAAGAAAACACAAAAAAAACATGAGAAAGAAAAATAGAAAAGAAAAAAAAACTACCAAGATTAAATCACCAGATAGTAAAGCACAAGATGTTCAATGATTACATGTTTGACTCATCTTTATCCATATTTTTAAATGTAACTTAAATTGTGCAGAAGTAGGACACGTCTGATATTGGTTGGTATATTATTCGTTATCAACTGCTTTTACAGAAAAAGCTGAAAGATCAAAATCACTAACTCTAAAATGTGCTTCACAATCACCTCTTGATGAAGCTCTTTTTTGTCTTGTGTTCTTAGCACACTAAAAGACAAATTCTTCATTATAAACTGATATTATCACAAACAATAAGATTTTGTAAAATTATAAAATTGCTACTATTTAATTTTACTACCACTCCAGGGTTCCCGTGGATCTTTAAAAAGTCTTAAAATCTAAGGTCATAAAAAGTCTGATTTTTATTTATGAGAGGTCTTCAATTTTAGATGACACTTCGACTTCTAAATACTTTTACCAAATTAAAACTAATTAGTGCTATATGATTTTATTATTCTTTCTTTGCGGGTTTGCTTGTTCACATGACATTTACGACAGCATATTATGCACTCCTGCACATGAAATGAAGAGAGTAGGAGCAGAAAATGGGTGCCACTTCTGATGGATTTTGTTGACAATGGTTTATAAATTGATTGTAAACCACCCAATAATGTGTTATTATTCTAATTTAATTTAATTTGAATGTTAGAATTTGACATACATTTATTAGATGTATGCATCACTTTTTATTAAAAAAAAATGCCCGTATATAGGTAAAAGGCCCGTGGAAATCAATTTAAGGTGGCAAATATTGTCACTGATGTGAACTGACCACCCCATAGAATATGAATTTGTGAGTCAGCTGTCCACAACAGCCCTAAACCAGATGTGGTACCAGCACAAAAGCACACTCAGCATTAGTGTTATCAACAAAATCCGGATATAATTTTTTGTCAATATTGCACCCCTAATGTGCAGTATTAATTAAAACCCCTTAAATTTTACTTTAAACATCAACCCTTCCACACATATTTAAAAACTGCATATAATTTTTTTTTAAACAGATTGATAGTTTTATTCAGCTGATGCATTAAATTACAGTAAAGAGATTTATATGCTAATTCATGTATATTACATTTTCTTAATACTTATTATGAAACTAATTTAACTTCTGATGCTTGTGTGTGTTCAGGACGTCCTATGGTTGTATCCAGTGGGATGCAGTCCATGGAGACCATGCGGCGCGTTTACGAGACCGTGAAGGAACACAACCAAAACTTCTGTATCCTGCAGTGCACAAGCGCATATCCACTGGAACCTGAGGACGTCAACCTGCGGGTTATCGCGGTAGAGAAACCAGCTCTATGTACTCTCAAAAATACATTTGATGTAATCCAAGTACAGCGCATGTGTATCAACATCAAAATCATTATGTTCTGCATTTCATGACCTACCTGAAAGTTTAAAACCTTACATTATATAATTACATCATTAGCTAAATTAAACATTATATAATTATGATTAGATAAATGAATCTTGCATAACCATAAAGTAAAATTATGTATTATTTTTTCCAACCTACAGGAATATCAAAAAGAATTTCCTGACATTCCCATTGGTTACTCAGGCCATGAAAGCGGAATCAGCATCACAGTGGGGGCAGTTGCATTGGGAGCAAAGGTCGTGGAGCGGCACGTGACCTTGGACAAGACCTGGAAGGGCAGCGATCATGAGGCATCTCTGGTGCCGGATGAGCTGGCGGAGCTGGTGCGATCCATCCGCACTGTGGAGAGAGCTTTGGGCACTGGGCTGAAACGCATGCTGCCCTGTGAGGTGCCATGCCATGATAAGGTACAATAAGAACCAGTTCGAATACATTCCCTTTTCATTTTATGTCTACATGTCAATTAGTGGCGTTAAGAGGCAAGCGTAACTATTACTATTGCTCAGAATTGCTCAGAATTATTGCTCAGAATTTGATGCACTGAAGTGGCATCAAAAATGATGCCACTTCAGTGTCAATTTAGTATTAATTATTCCCTATTATAGTATTTATTAATAATTTGGATTATCTTTCATTTTTATATTTAAATTTTTTGTTTTAATAATTTAGTTGTATTTTGTCATTTTTATTAAATATTCTATTTAGCTTTCATTTATTTTTATTTCAAGGTACACCATGTAACTTTTTTAAAAACAAAATTAACAAAATTTAAACGAGTCAATACATCATCAATAATTCTTCCAAAATGAGTTTTTGTCTTACTCTGATTCACTATGATAAACCTGTTATAAGTGTTTATTACACGGGTCTGTGGAATACTTGATTCTGATTGGTCAATTGCACCATCCAGCGATATGTTATTTCCAGATAACAACCGCTAAAAAACAGATAACGCAGGCTCATCCGGGTTACTGAAGTCAACAGCGCTAAAAGCTTGCTAGGAACGTTTTTTCTTCGTGGAAGTTTTGCATTTGGTGAGCTAATAAAATATTAAAACTCAGTCAAATCAATATTTTGTGTACAGTTATTTAATTATCCCATCCAGTATCATGGATTTGCTCTCTCTTGTTTCATACAAACGCAGCTGCTGCCTTTTTACGACTATTGTTTTGTACTCTGTTGAATTATAAGATACAAACAGGTACGGTTTTAAAACAGTTAAATCTGAAATCAATATCTCTTATCTCCATAATTATTTATGTGGCGAAATGCTGTGTAATAAGTGGTATGACTGTACCGTATCTCTTAGATGTCCATCTAGTTTGAACTTGCCGCGCTAACAACTGCTCTCTCCGTGGAGGCTTTGCATTTAAAGACCTAATAAAATATTTAAACTCAGATCAATATTTCATGTCTAATTATTTACTTATGTGGCAAGTAGCCTTGTAATAAGCGGAATAATGTACATCCAGCCGGTTGTCATCCCGGAATGATGACGGAAAACGTTACGGATGGTTTTCGCGAGAAGTTGCGTACATGCGTCACTCGCCCGTGTGTCTCTCATCATATCTGTAAATAGAGAAAAGTTGCTCTGGCTACTTTGACGGGTTTATGGTGGGGTTGTCTCAGAGGTTAGTTGTCACAACGACCGAGAAAAGGTTGACACTGGGCATGCTAAATCTCAGAGTGCATGTGCGGCAGCCACGGCTGCATAGAAGCCTACTCATCTGGTCTCGCCCTGCAGAGAGAAGCCAAGAGACTCCATGACGGTGAGATGACCCCAAACTCCCCCCCCCCACACACACACGCACGCGCACACACACACACGCACGCGCACACACACACACACACACACACACACACACACACACACACAAACACCAATAATTGCGCTTAAGTAGGCTTAACAGCCTCACCCTCTGTCACAGTTTTTCCTTTTCAGTTGGCAGTGAACAACTAAACTGGTCAGTATAACGTCACAGTTAACAGTGGTGTAATCCCTCACTGTTGTTTTTCACATTTCTGTATGATCATTTTTACCATACCAAAGCTTAACATCCAAACATTAACCCACTCAAAAATGTTGCTTTTGTATTTCTGTTTTGAAATTTCTCCAAAAGCCTTTATCTATTCATTCTTTAAAAACAAAAACTGACCTACCCTGATTTGAGAGAGGAATCGCACTGCATGCTGGAGTAAAAGTAGAAACACCTTTTTTTTTTTTAAAGCTTGTCTCAACAAAATAATGAAAACGGTTCTTGGAAGTCTGTTTTATTTTAGTGACACTATTTGAATTTATGTTAACAACATTTTATAAAAAGGTCCAATTAATGCATTAAATAACATTTCAATGAGCAATAACATCTGTTACAGTATTTATTAGTCTTTGTTAATGCTAGTTTAAAAAATCAAGTAAATAATTTTAACAGATACATTTTGATTTTATATTATTAATATTATATAATATGTATAATGTCATTGTAAATGTTGAAAAAAAAGTGAACTAACAATGAAAAATACTTTATTAATCTTAGTTAATTTTAACAAATAAAACCTTATTGTAAAGTGTTACTGAATATATTTATTAATTAAAATATTTTATGAGATTTGTATTTAAATGAATTTGCTCAACAACAACACCAAAATCACTGAATTTTATGGATTAAAATGAATTACAACTGTTCCCACAAATCACTGTTCTGCATTTTACATTATTTTCTTTTTAGCCTTTGCTACCTTATGAGGACTGGAAATTATATATTAACTATGATATGATATATGATATAGGCCTATTATATAAATGATATATGATATGATATGATATTTGTTGTCATTTAATTTCGAGTTAATAAGATACAAAGTTGCTTCCTAAAACTAATAAACACTGAACCTTGATTTAAAAGAAGAGTTGTACGCAACAAATGCATTTCCAAGTAAAATGTGACACATGTTTCTTTCACATTTGATGACAGAGGACTTGCTGTTGGTGGAGGGAATGACTGTGAATAACAAAGAACAAGTGAATGCTATTCATCTGATCAATGCTGCTCGCCTCGGCAACTCCAAAGCTGAGAGCGCACTTCACACTGGTAGGACGCACATCCGAGTACATACATTATTCTCGGGCCGGCTTGTGGTGAAGAAAAGCACTAATAGTCTCTCTTCTCTTCCCTGACAGCGGGTACTGCTCTGGGTTTGGGCATTGTGAACATCCTGCACATGATCAACCCGTCTCTAGTGATTTTGTCTGGTGTCCTGGCAGAGCATTATGAGAATCCAGTTCGTCAGGTCATCAGTCAGCGCGCTCTGCTCTCGGCACAGGGGACCAAGATCATGATGTCTGAGCTGGAGGATCCTGCCCTGCTGGGCGCCGCAAGCATGGTACTGGACTACACCACACGCCGTACCTACTGACGGAGCTCGAAAACCAGGAACCAGTCAGTTACAGACTTAACGACCGAGGGCCAATCATCTGTTACGTCATAGTGGCTCATAGGATCATAGTGGCTTTTTAAGCCTGACGAGAAAAAGCTTTTATTTTTTTTTACTAGTTTTTATTATTTGGGATCAAATGCTTGATGAAAGGTGTGTAATTTTGAAGAATAATTTAAGTATATGAAGTAAGGTTTTTATTTAATATTTGAACGGTGGAACTAAGGGGTATTTGTTACTGAGAAGCTGCTATGGTGACCTGCTCTGTCTTGCTTTCTGTTATTTGTGTTTTTTCATGGAGACAGTCATGTTCTCCGTTGCGCCTTACTGTATGTTGATCTGTTGCCAATCCTTTTTTGTCTTCAGCACCATATGTTTAGTTTTCATTCAACCTACCTGTATGAATAACTGAAAGAAGTTTGTCTGTTTACTCTAATTTAATATTTTATTTTTGAATCACAGAAGTTGAACTTGTAAAATAATTTACATTATGTACATTAAATCAATAAACACACAATTTCTTATTATGGCCATTGAACTGATTTATTATATTATAGTCCCATAATACATGCATAAACTGAAGGATATCTGCAGAATATTGAAATATTTATATTAGTTTATTTAAATATACAAAAACTATTCTGTTTGTTTTGCTTTGCACATGAAGAAAATAATGGTTTTAGAATTAGAAGTATATATTTTTTGTTTTTGTTTATTTTTTATTTAGTATGTTTTTTCTTTCTTTTATACATTTATAATAATAATACGTTTTATTTATATAGCGCATTTATCTTGTTTCGTCCTTCTCAAATGACTCAAATAAACATTTGGATACAATTGGTCATCTGAACTGATTACATAATTACACATGTATTGAGACCTATTTGTGTAGCCTTTTGGGTTTCCTATGCTTGTAACGTTAATATCCTGAGCGGAGCAACCTAGAAGCAAATGTTGAGCTGTAAGCGATTTCTGTACCTCTGCAAAAACAGAACAAAAATTCATTTTCCGTTATTTGGCCAAGCAGACACTTCACAATTATACAATACACAATATACAACTCTGAAATATACAAAGAAACCATAAACAGCACAGATTACAAAATGTGGCAAAATGCATCACTGGACTAAAATACGAATGCGATTTTTAGTAGGTTTAACTTACTTTATATGTTAAAACATCACATATATAACAAAACAACACAAAAAGATGAATAATAAAAAAGTTCAGGACTTCTATTGAAGCGAAAAGATAAGGTCTTTTATTTCGAAAAATGTGGGCGTGTGCACAAATGAACCCGGAAGTTCTACGTTCTCTTTCGTCGAGGCATTTGACGCGTGTAACCAAAGCAGTGAGACGACTCACCCGCTGTCATTTCTGTAGATTTTTTTGCCGTGTTTTTGCACTTGGATTTAAAATGCCTCTTGAATTTGAGTTATGCCCCGGTCGCATGATCGGAGGAAACAACCCGTGTTTCATTATTGCAGAAATCGGACAGAATCATCAGGGAGACATTGAAAAAGCCAAGCAAATGATCAAGATGGTTAAGGTAAGAGTGGATTTGTATTATCAAAATCGATATAGTACATTTATTATTGGCTGTAAGCCTGTGAATTTAAATAATTGTTTCGGGAATTGTTTAGTTAGTGTTTGCAATAGTTTTTAAACGTAATTCGCAGCAGTCAGTGTTCCTGAAATGATCATTCAGAATGCTTCATCTCAAATCATTCAGAAGGCAAAACACTTCCTCACACTTCGGAAGTTTGTCGTAGAGTATTTTAAGCCATAACTCTACATATAAAGCAGTTTAATAATAATCATTAACATATCTTTTACACATTATAGATACAGGTGCTATAAACAGTGAAATGAGTTATGATACTGATTTTAGTTTCTTTTCCGAAAGATACTAGTCTACTCCATGAGTGCATTCTGTAAATTCCATTCATAATGGAATTGTTGAATAAAAAAATAAAAATGTTTTAATAATCCACCATATTAGCAGAAATTGTTATTTTTAGATTGACTTTTCTTATTTTTGTATAAAACCATTTCATTTTTTTCTCTCTCATCTTTATATTTAAGGTCTCGTTGTTTCACTTTTCTGATATTATTTCATTGTATGGAACTATTTCTCCTCTACTAGGACAGTGGGGCGGACTGTGCGAAGTTTCAGAAGAGTGAGCTGGAGTATAAATTCAACAAGAAAGCGCTGGAGCGGCCGTACACCTCCAAACATTCCTGGGGGAAAACATACGGAGAGCACAAGCGCCATCTCGAGTTCAGTCATGAGCAGTACAGAGAGCTGCAGCAGTACGCCAGAGAACTGGGCATCTTCTTCACCGCGTCAGGAATGGACGAGGTGAGCCCCAGAACGCATGCGCAAATTATTTTCATATGTTTGTTTTTTGGCTTTAGGCTTACTGTTAGCTAGGAAAGAAGACACGAGCCTGCCGAACCCATCAAATAGTGATGTAATGCAATTCCAAAATGTCTTGTGTATTATTGTTTTAACTATTGTTACATCACGTTTGTCATGTTATGATCACAGCTGCCCCTTACGGTAGCGGTACCATGGTACTTTGATAAATGGCACTAAACTATATTTGTATACCACAGCATTTACTTAGTACTTATCAAGAATGCAATGGCACATGTAAAAAAAATGTGTTTTTCTGTCTTTAAGATGGCTGTAGAATTCCTGCATGAGCTCAATGTGCCTTTTTTCAAAGTTGGATCTGGAGACACCAACAACTTCCCCTACCTCAAGAAAACTGCGCAAAAAGGTCTCCATAGTTTTTTCTTTATTTTATATTTTAACAGGGACAATGGGCAGTCAATGACTACCCCAGAATTAGCTTACAGAGCTACATTTCATCTGCAGTTCCTGGGCAGGAGAGACTAAAACACATAACATAACTAAAACATTCATCAGCAATAACATATACAATAAAAATTCTCACCTAAAAGAAAGTACATTTCAAATAATATAGTATAAAAAAATACTTTCAAAAACATTACCCAATAATAAATATTACATCTAAAAAGAAAACACAAAAAAAACATGAGAAAGAAAAATAGAAAAGAAAAAAAAACTACCAAGATTAAATCACCAGATAGTAAAGCACAAGATGTTCAATGATTACATGTTTGACTCATCTTTATCCATATTTTTAAATGTAACTTAAATTGTGCAGAAGTAGGACACGTCTGATATTGGTTGGTATATTATTCGTTATCAACTGCTTTTACAGAAAAAGCTGAAAGATCAAAATCACTAACTCTAAAATGTGCTTCACAATCACCTCTTGATGAAGCTCTTTTTTGTCTTGTGTTCTTAGCACACTAAAAGACAAATTCTTCATTATAAACTGATATTATCACAAACAATAAGATTTTGTAAAATTATAAAATTGCTACTATTTAATTTTACTACCACTCCAGGGTTCCCGTGGATCTTTAAAAAGTCTTAAAATCTAAGGTCATAAAAAGTCTGATTTTTATTTATGAGAGGTCTTCAATTTTAGATGACACTTCGACTTCTAAATACTTTTACCAAATTAAAACTAATTAGTGCTATATGATTTTATTATTCTTTCTTTGCGGGTTTGCTTGTTCACATGACATTTACGACAGCATATTATGCACTCCTGCACATGAAATGAAGAGAGTAGGAGCAGAAAATGGGTGCCACTTCTGATGGATTTTGTTGACAATGGTTTATAAATTGATTGTAAACCACCCAATAATGTGTTATTATTCTAATTTAATTTAATTTGAATGTTAGAATTTGACATACATTTATTAGATGTATGCATCACTTTTTATTAAAAAAAAATGCCCGTATATAGGTAAAAGGCCCGTGGAAATCAATTTAAGGTGGCAAATATTGTCACTGATGTGAACTGACCACCCCATAGAATATGAATTTGTGAGTCAGCTGTCCACAACAGCCCTAAACCAGATGTGGTACCAGCACAAAAGCACACTCAGCATTAGTGTTATCAACAAAATCCGGATATAATTTTTTGTCAATATTGCACCCCTAATGTGCAGTATTAATTAAAACCCCTTAAATTTTACTTTAAACATCAACCCTTCCACACATATTTAAAAACTGCATATAATTTTTTTTTAAACAGATTGATAGTTTTATTCAGCTGATGCATTAAATTACAGTAAAGAGATTTATATGCTAATTCATGTATATTACATTTTCTTAATACTTATTATGAAACTAATTTAACTTCTGATGCTTGTGTGTGTTCAGGACGTCCTATGGTTGTATCCAGTGGGATGCAGTCCATGGAGACCATGCGGCGCGTTTACGAGACCGTGAAGGAACACAACCAAAACTTCTGTATCCTGCAGTGCACAAGCGCATATCCACTGGAACCTGAGGACGTCAACCTGCGGGTTATCGCGGTAGAGAAACCAGCTCTATGTACTCTCAAAAATACATTTGATGTAATCCAAGTACAGCGCATGTGTATCAACATCAAAATCATTATGTTCTGCATTTCATGACCTACCTGAAAGTTTAAAACCTTACATTATATAATTACATCATTAGCTAAATTAAACATTATATAATTATGATTAGATAAATGAATCTTGCATAACCATAAAGTAAAATTATGTATTATTTTTTCCAACCTACAGGAATATCAAAAAGAATTTCCTGACATTCCCATTGGTTACTCAGGCCATGAAAGCGGAATCAGCATCACAGTGGGGGCAGTTGCATTGGGAGCAAAGGTCGTGGAGCGGCACGTGACCTTGGACAAGACCTGGAAGGGCAGCGATCATGAGGCATCTCTGGTGCCGGATGAGCTGGCGGAGCTGGTGCGATCCATCCGCACTGTGGAGAGAGCTTTGGGCACTGGGCTGAAACGCATGCTGCCCTGTGAGGTGCCATGCCATGATAAGGTACAATAAGAACCAGTTCGAATACATTCCCTTTTCATTTTATGTCTACATGTCAATTAGTGGCGTTAAGAGGCAAGCGTAACTATTACTATTGCTCAGAATTGCTCAGAATTATTGCTCAGAATTTGATGCACTGAAGTGGCATCAAAAATGATGCCACTTCAGTGTCAATTTAGTATTAATTATTCCCTATTATAGTATTTATTAATAATTTGGATTATCTTTCATTTTTATATTTAAATTTTTTGTTTTAATAATTTAGTTGTATTTTGTCATTTTTATTAAATATTCTATTTAGCTTTCATTTATTTTTATTTCAAGGTACACCATGTAACTTTTTTAAAAACAAAATTAACAAAATTTAAACGAGTCAATACATCATCAATAATTCTTCCAAAATGAGTTTTTGTCTTACTCTGATTCACTATGATAAACCTGTTATAAGTGTTTATTACACGGGTCTGTGGAATACTTGATTCTGATTGGTCAATTGCACCATCCAGCGATATGTTATTTCCAGATAACAACCGCTAAAAAACAGATAACGCAGGCTCATCCGGGTTACTGAAGTCAACAGCGCTAAAAGCTTGCTAGGAACGTTTTTTCTTCGTGGAAGTTTTGCATTTGGTGAGCTAATAAAATATTAAAACTCAGTCAAATCAATATTTTGTGTACAGTTATTTAATTATCCCATCCAGTATCATGGATTTGCTCTCTCTTGTTTCATACAAACGCAGCTGCTGCCTTTTTACGACTATTGTTTTGTACTCTGTTGAATTATAAGATACAAACAGGTACGGTTTTAAAACAGTTAAATCTGAAATCAATATCTCTTATCTCCATAATTATTTATGTGGCGAAATGCTGTGTAATAAGTGGTATGACTGTACCGTATCTCTTAGATGTCCATCTAGTTTGAACTTGCCGCGCTAACAACTGCTCTCTCCGTGGAGGCTTTGCATTTAAAGACCTAATAAAATATTTAAACTCAGATCAATATTTCATGTCTAATTATTTACTTATGTGGCAAGTAGCCTTGTAATAAGCGGAATAATGTACATCCAGCCGGTTGTCATCCCGGAATGATGACGGAAAACGTTACGGATGGTTTTCGCGAGAAGTTGCGTACATGCGTCACTCGCCCGTGTGTCTCTCATCATATCTGTAAATAGAGAAAAGTTGCTCTGGCTACTTTGACGGGTTTATGGTGGGGTTGTCTCAGAGGTTAGTTGTCACAACGACCGAGAAAAGGTTGACACTGGGCATGCTAAATCTCAAACCTCCGGAGAATCACCCATTTTAAACAAATGCTGAACAGAGGAGAGTCTGCTGGCAAAAAGAGAACGCAACAGAGCTCGTAATAAAACAAGAATCAACATTGGCTTGGCTTTTCGGAGATGGCGAGAACTGAGGGATTTGAAATGTTGTAAAAGGGAAGTGGCAAAAAAAATGCAACTTAAAAATAAGCAACTTATTTTTTTTATTTTCTATTTCGAACTTATTTCATTTTCATTTCTAATTCTCATTTGTTTTTCATTAAAATATTTTATCTCAGATTTTTTTTCAATTAATGAAAACTGTTTTAAAGTTTTTTTCTTAGTTTTATTTCTTGATAACTAACAGCACTTTGCTGCAGATATGATGCCTCAAATCATGTGACTTGTTGAGAAAAGGTGTGCTATAGCACTCTCTCTGTCTCTGTTGTTTTTCACATTCCTCTTTACCCCCTACTCCAACTCCATCAGTTTTTTATAACTCCATTCTCTTTCCTTCTAATGTTGCATTCCTGGTCTTGCCCCATTTCCTCCTGTCTTAACTTTTCTTCCGTTTTACCATCAAATGCATCTGTTTGCTACCCATATGCCTCCATTCATTCTTAACTTTGCTTCCTCTGAAATGTTTTTTTTTTTTTTACGTCAGTGGGATGTTATGTTTTGAACAGCACAACCACATTGTCTTCAAGTAATCTGCTCTGTCAGAACATTCCTATAATTCTTCTTCTCCATCTTTCACTCATTTCTAGCTCGGGAAGTCTGTGGTTGCAAAGACCGCCATCCCGAAAGGTACAGAACTAACCCTTGACATGCTGGCTGTGAAAGTAGGTGAACCCAAGGGTGTAGCTCCAGAAGACATCTTCCAGCTGGTGGGAAAGAAAGTGACGATAGATTTCGAGGAGGATGAGAGCATCACTGAGGATGCAGTCGACAACTATAGCAAAAAAGCCAAAGCTTGAGGAAAACTGTCTCTGCATGTGATTCTTGAATACTGTTGAATAAATAAAATAAAAAATAAAATGGAAACATGGAAATCTGTCTCATTTTTAAAATGAATTAAAGGTAATAATTTAAAATTATGGAATCAAAAAGGTAAAGGGTTTTATTTATATGCATTACCAATTTAATTGGACATTTGCCAAGGTATTACTACCACGGTTCTTTTTGGGATATATTCCATGGTAGTACCACACAGTTCTCTTGGTGTATTATTTAAACCCCTTAACTGTCACCTGCCCGTATACGGGCAAACTAAATTTACTTCACTATATTACTATTAAATCCTAATCTAGTCATGACAAACTATATATCGCTGGAAAGGTCTAAGACTCCTAAATAGATATTTTAGCGCTGTTTTTTTCTTACAAATTATGAATGAACAGTAATATATGAATTTATGACAAGAGTGCGCCTCAAAAAATCGACGTCATTTCAGGAGTTTCTGACCTTTGTCACAAAAAGTCGACGCACACACTTTTAATAATTGAAACTTTGGTTTTTAGTGCTAAAAGTTCATAATAAAACATAATCTAGTATTTGTCAATAAAAAAAAGATAAAATTATATTTTAAAAAGTAAAGTAAGAAGTCCTCTAAAAAGTATAATATATATTATATATATATATATAATTTTTTATTATTATTATATCACATATTTTAGTAGTTATCATAAATTAGGTATCATTTGAAAGCTTACGAACTCAGAATTTATCCTGTGAAAACCGTTTTGAAATTGGACGTTGCGTTACCATAGAAACGGTATTTTTTATTAGGCCCCTCCCCTTTTGGGCATCATCTTTCATAATTTATTATCAAAACCTTTTCTAATCTTGACAAAACACATATTGTCAGAAAGGTCTGAGTCTCAAGGTTCCATATTTAGTGACAGAAGTGATATTTGGATAGAAATGTATTAATTTGTTATGGCAGAATGCATACAATTAAATTCAATGGAATTCAATGGCACCCGGTGGCTATTTTTGGCACTACGCCTAAACAAAATCTCATGGGAACTTCAATTTTTGTGATATCAACTTTAAATTTGGAACACAACTTGGTTAGATATATAGCTTTCATTTTATAGTAATTTTATAGTAAAAAATATTTTGTAAAATATTTATTTTATATTAAAAAAAATATATTAATAAACTATATTTGATTTACTGTAAATTATAACTTCCATAACTTTTTGATACTTTAATTTTTTGAAGTGCATTCACTTTAGTAATAATCTGCTGATTGTTTTCTTTAAAACAAGACCAAACTTAGGTCTATATTCCAAAGCATTCTTGAATTACAACCATTTAAGTTTGTATAGTGCATTTTAATGTAAATTATCAAAAGGGGGGGTGACAGTTAAATACCATGGTACATGAATATGGTGTTATCCTGCTAAATTAATACCATATTTAAATATATTTTCGCCCAAAATGACGCCCAAATCTTGCTATCAATTGATCTTTTGAGATCAAAAGATCCAGCATAAGTATTTCTGTGAAGGACACCACACTGTCAGTTTTTTCATGATAAAGCCTTTTTTTTTATAGACTGATACGTATGCAATCCCATTTTGCTGCAACGCCCTATCACGGCACGCTGTTGGTCACGGGATTCGCACAGCCACGGTTTAGTCATTTCATTGGTCGTCGACTGAACTCCTCGTCATTTGTATGGGCAGTAGAACTGCCGATCAAAAATACACAACTCTAATTGGCTGAGCTTCATTTCTTTCGGGTCCGTTCACTCTTTAGCACCTCCCCCGCTGACATTGGAGTCGTCGTCGACGAGGAAGACAGTAGAGTGATTTGTGTTTTTCAGTTGTTCTCACTCTTAACACACTTAGCGAGCCATGGACGATTTTGATATGCTCAGTGCCCCTCAAGGAAGCGCAGGAAACGGTGTGGGGGCAGACGAGGATCCGGCGGCAGCATTTCTGGCCCAGCAAGAGAGTGAGATCGCGGGCATCGAGAATGACGAGGGCTTCAGCATCCTGGACAGCGGAGATGTGCCTGTCGGTACACGATCCGTTCCACCTGCACGATCCGTTCTACGCATGCGTAGTAGACGCAGTAGAAAACGCACATGCGCAAATTATAATTCTGTTTTGCGATGCTGATTTTGATTTACGACACTGCACGATCTGTTCCACGCATGCGCATATTTGTACCGCGAAACTTTCATTCACTCACAGCAAAAGAAAATGGAGTTCAGTGGAAGAAATGAGCGAAATGAGAAGTTTGCCCTTTACGCTGCCGTTAGACAATATTTGGTTGACGGGTTGGTGGATGCAGCGTTGAAGAAGAAGGTCTCACGAATGGCTGCAAATTTTGTTATAAGAGGTACGTGAGTGCATAGACATCATTATTGATAGACGCCCTATCAACCGCTAAGTTACTGCCAGTGTCCCATCTTAGACCGGTCACCCGCTGTTATCTGTTTGTCAGGTGCAATGAGCTGTCAGCGTACCTCACTGAATATCAAACTGATTTTCGCGCGGTTTTTTTTGCTGCAAATGTCATTCATGTAGCTATGATACAGGACACATGGTTCGGCGTATTTTAATATTCACAGTAGGCTTACAGTAATATAATATTCTGATATAAGATATACAGTGACCAGACACAATATATGATGTATGTGATGTAGGATATAAGGTATTTTATAAATCACACACTATAAATATGATAAAGAAGCAGAAACAGATAGTTGCAGTAAAGTAAGATATTTTAATAAGTTGACACAAACAAACACGAACAGACACTCTCTCACACACAAACTCACACACAAACAAACAAACCGGAACAGACACAAACATACTCCCTCTCACACACAAACACACTCTCTCACACACACAAACTCACTCTCTCACACAAACACAAACAGACACTCTCTCACTCATACAAACAAACACGAACAGACACAAACAGACCATTCAAGTTGAATTATGATTTGTGACACACACACTCACACACAAACAAACACGAACAGACACTCTCTCACACACAAACAAACAGGAACAGATACAAACAGACACCCTCTCACACACAAACACACTCTCTCTCACACACAAACTCACTCGCACACTCTCTCACACAAACAGACACTCTCTCACACACAAACACACACTCTCTCACTCACACACAAACAAACAGGAACCGACACCCTCTCACAAACAAACAGACACACACACTCTCTCTCTCTCTCTCTCTCTCTCTCTCTCTCTCTCTCTCTCTCTCTCTCTCTCTCTCTCTCTCTCTCTCTCTCTCTCTCTCTCTCTCTCTCTCTCTCTCTCTCTCTCACACACAAACACGAACAGACACACACACACACACACTCTCTCTCTCTCTCTCTCTCTCTCTCTCTCTCTCAAAAAGCAAGACTATGTAAACAAAAACACAGCCACTGTACAAAAGTGGCAATTATAGAATAACGGACACAGCAATGCATCATGTTCTATAAGATCATCATGTTTTTAGCATAATCCAGGGGATTAAAACGTACAAAATATATTTCAGGCCTAGTGAAGTTGGTAACTAACTAATAATAGTAGTAATTGTGTAAAGTTGCATAAAATGGTAATACTCACTAATGCAAGAAAAAACTACCTCAAAAAACTGTTATCTGTGCTGTTGTCCAGTAACTCCAGTTGGAAACTTCACCCCAAAATGGCGGGCTACCGAAACGCCACCTAGTGGCTGTTACCAAAAAAAGCATCAGAGTTTCGCCTCTTGTTCTTCTATACTCTGGTATTTGAAAATAATATTTCGCATTGTTTTAGTTAACACGTGTGAGCATGTCAGTAACGTTCCATCTAGTCAGACATAGTAACCGCCAACATTTTTCACCACACGTGTTTGCATCCCTGAACAGACACATGTGCACATACGTGCTGTATTGTAATACCAAACAAAGCAGCAAAATCATTACGTTACAAACATTGTTTGTCTATCACAGAAAGTAAATTATTCTACATTGGCCCCAGTGCACAATTCATGAGGCTGGTTGTGCTGTCTGATGAGCAGAGGCGGGCTGTCCTGGAGGAGTGCCACAACAACCCTGGAACAGGGAACCATGGGGGCGTGAGGGCGACCATGGACAGGGTTGCTGTGGGGTACTACTGGGATAACATAAAGGCAGATGTGGCAGATTGGGTACTTTTTTGGAACTTTAATGGAATTTGACACTATGGCTCTCAGGCAATGAATTGATTTAGTGGCTTTGTTTGACTTCAGATAATTATTTTGTCTAAATAATATAATTATTTTGTCTAAATAATAAATGTATCCATCAGGTCAAAAGCTGTCACAGATGCCAAAAGAACGACCCCATAAAGACTGTGTCTCCTGCCCTTCACCCTATTAAGGTAGAGCTTACCTTGGTGTACCACTTAAAGCAACAAGTTAGGTGATGTGGTAATATTACATATCTCCACAGGTGAAAGAGCCGTGGGAGGTGGTCGGTATGGACCTCATTGGTCCACTGAAAAAAACCATGAAAGACCATCAATACGTCCTCACGGTGACAGACCTGTTCACCAAGTGGGTTATCGCTGAGCCTTTGAAGTGTGGCTCTAGCACTGAGGTGGCTGAGGCACTTGTGTCAAAGCTCTACACATTTGGTATGGTCCGGAAAATCATCACTGACAGGGGCCGTGCATTTGTTAACGAGGTATGTGTCCTTATTACCCTCTCCCTTCACACAGGGCATATGGCATCATCACAATTCATTGGTCATTTCTGAGACCAATAAATATTGAAAATAACCATGTGTGTCTGATGTACAGCTTAATGCACACATATTTGCGGCGTTGAACATCAAGCATGCCATCACAAGTGCATACCATCCCCAGTCAAACGGCCAAGTAAGTGTGCCCTCATGACATCCCGCAAAACAGTAAAGTCCATTTTAGCCAATGTACACTAAAGTGCATGTAACAATTCCTTTCTATGTTGAAGGATGAGAGAACTAATCAAAATATAAAGAGGACTCTCAGAAAATATGTTAATCAGCACCATGATGATTGGGACATCCACTTACAGGCCATAGTTTATGGAATAAACACTGCAAAACAGGTTATTATTCAAAATGACTAGATAACATATGTTGCATACATGTTTTAAGAGTTTTATTTTGTGATTTGATGCAAAACATTTTGTTTCAAATTAGAGATCCACCAAGTACAGCCCGTACTTTTTAATGTACAATAGGCACCCCCGTCTACCACAGGCATTAAATGTCTGTGAGACAGACGCTGCCTTTAAATTTGGCGGACCCAGAGGAGGAGCTGGAGCTAAAACTAGCTGGAGTCAAGGCCCTCAATGAAACGGTTTGTTCAGAGTTGTGTGAATGGCATGTTCAATTTGAATAAGAATGTTCGCATAGTAATATATTCTTATCTTTAAGGTACGGAAAAACATTGAAAAGGCACAGGGGAAACAAAAAAAGGCTTTTGAGGCAAAGAAAAGGAAAGGGGTTCGCCAGTGCTCAGTTAAGGCAGGGGACGAGGTCCTAATTGGGGAGCCCAAAAAGAAGGTGAAGAAGGGAAATTGTTTACAGGATCTCCACCAAGGGCCATTCACCCTCACATCCCTGACAGAGAAGGGTGTGGCAAGTGTGGCTATGTTAGGAAAAATACAGAAAATGAATGTTGCACAGCTAAGGCCCTACTTTCGGCCACAAGGTATTGTAATAATCCTACTTGGTGACATAGCAAATATAAACATGACACTTGGCAATGCTGATTACTATTTACTTTCCTGTTGTGTAGATCATAGCCATGAATCGGAGGGCAGCCAAAACAATGCAGAAGACATTGGACTGGTGGACCACCAGTATGCCAATAAAGGTCCACTGTGGCACAAGAGGTTGTGTCCTCAACAAGAACAAGTGGTGAGTGCCAAACTAAACTGGATAGTTCACATGCACAGCTTGTTGGTGTGCTTTAAATAATAAATGCATGATTGCTTATTCCTAACAGGGATATTTTTTATTTCTAGCTGACCTATGTGCTGGACAGAACACGTCCAGCAAAAGAAATTGTTGTTCTGGATGGCCCAGTTTGTCTTCAAAGGGAAGACTTTTGGAGCCTGGGGCTAGATGAACAGGTGGAGAGCAGTGTAAGTGGATATTGCTGTAAAGAGTTTGGATGGTTCTAATGCCTTTATTGTAATTATGCAAAACATTCTGTGCTTTCAGATTGGGAATGCGTGCTTCAGGCTGGTAGAGGAGGCAGGCAGGAGACATGTATGTATTTGTATTTACCTTGATGACTTACACATAAGTTTGTGCAAAAGTGAGTGCACCTCTCACATTTTTACTACTCACTTTTGTGAGATGTATGTATATGAAATGCAGACATACAATTTTATTCAGGGAATGGATGTCCACATTGCTGACCTATTTGAAGTCCCTAAATGGAAACTAAGCGAACCTAGTTTGCCGGTAAGTTGTATAATGTGTTAAGTCCCGCAGATACACCTCTTTAAGTGAAGATTATGTCCAAGGAGATCTGAACATAGTTTTTTTTTCATAGGACAATGTGGAATCTAAAGATATCATCATTTTGCCAGCATGGTCTAGGGGGTCACAAACAGCAAGCCACTACATGCTTTGTGTACAGTTACATTGTTTTTTAGTTTTTCCTCTATTTTTAAACCAGTTGGTGCCCCTATAGCTGACATTAATAGGGTATGTTCTTCACAGGTGTTATTAGTTGCTAAGAAGGAGGCTATTTTTCTGGACTCATTATGTCCAAATGGGTTTGGAGATGAGAAATACCGAACCATATTTAGGTTTGAAATGCATAAGCAGAGGACATTAGCAAGGTTTGACCTGTGACCGATTAAGGCTAACAAAGAACATAAAGTGCATGTAGTTACGTGCTACTATGGGAATTAAAGTTAATACATGATAGGGGGTGTTTTCTACTTTTTTTTTCATCCAGTTAAGCCTGAACAGCACTCTGAAAATCTTCAATCTGATGACATTGTGTAACAGCCTTAACAAATACAGATCAAACTGAGTGAAATGGACTGATATCCTGTTCAGGCAAAGCCTTGTTCTCTGGCTTTAGGTTTGATTAAAAGCCTTGTTCTCTGGCTTTAGGATTGAGTAAAAGCCTTGTTCTCTGGCTTTAGGATTGAGTAAAAACCTTGTTCTCTGGCTTTAGGTTTGATTAAAAGCCTTGTTCTTTGGCTTTAGGATTGAGTAAAAGCCTTGTTCTCTGGCTTTAGGTTTGATTAAAAGCCTTGTTCTTTGGCTTTAGGATTGAGTAAAAGCCTTGTTCTCTGGCTTTAGGATTGAGTAAAAGCCTTGTTCTCTGGCTTTAGGATTGAGTAAAAACCTTGTTCTCTGGCTTTAGGATTGAGTAAAAGCCTTGTTCTCTGGCTTTAGGATTGAGTAAAAGCCTTGTTCTCTGGCTTTAGGATTGAGTAAAAACCTTGTTCTCTGGCTTTAGGATTGAGTAAAAGCCTTGTTCTCTGGCTTTAGGATTAAGGAAAAAACCTTGTTCTATGGATTCAGTTTTGCATAATGTTTTTCCAGACAACTTGCAGGAGCAGTGGCTAATGGACCGTGGGTGGAGAAGACGGGCAAAGATTTTGATGTAACTTTACTTACTATGTAAATTTGCCATTTCATTTTGCTCAGCGGACACTATATATGGTTGTCAACATTACATCTGAGTAACTGTATATTACTTTTCAGCCATTTCCAGTTCAGTCAGATGGACAGAGCTGTGGGATATTCATGCTTATGGTAAACTTATACAATTTCTACTCAATTTTTCCTGTTTGTCCTAAATCTCCATAGTAATTATTTTTCTCTTTAACAGTATGCCCTCTGCATCTGTACTGGTGCCATGTTTCACTTTTTGGATGTAAGTTGTAATTCATGGAATGTATATGTATCAAAGAATGTTAAAAAACAAACAATGCAAGACTCCAATATTACATGTGTATTACAGACTGACATACCATCTATTCGGAAGTGGTGGTGTCTCCAGATTCTGGAGAAATTCTCGATCGCAAGGTAGGGCATATATTTCAAGCAGTAAAACATTGGTCTGCTTTACAATTATGCTACATTAAAAGTACCATACTTTTGAATAGGCATGGGCAGAACTTCGGGCAGCGCTTTGCCTTCTGGACAGAGGAGGCAGAACAGCTGATGGCAGGCACCCTACCACCTATTTATAGGATTTCTCGACCCCAAATAGTCAAGGTATGGCCAAACTAACCAGACAACCATTTTCACGTACGCATTCTAAATGTTAAATTAACACCGGTAACACCGACTACCGTAGCAAGCCAAGTTACTACCCGAACCCCGAAGTTCCGTAGTGCCAGTAAAAGCGATACAGACCCCGTCAGGCAATGGCAGAAGTGCCTTTCACCCTGTTATGACTTGATGAACCACTGATAAGATTTTGGAAACATTATTTTAAGGTAAAAATGTTACATAGTGTTGCTTTAAGTATTGTGTTTACATGAGGTAAAATATAATTGCAATATTGCTAAAATCCCATTATAATCGCATTATGAGGGTGCATGTAAACGTTGTCAATCTTTCACCCTTAGTTACATTGCAGCCATCTCCAAGAGACATTTGTTCATTTTTTTGCTGAAAAGATGTCTTTAGGCCCCGTTTGAAAGACCAAAACATTTTATGTTGTAGTCTTAATTTATGGTATTTTACTTTATCATAGGAGGAACAGGTAGAAGTGGAGGAGCTGCCCCTCACATTGAAACATATGTACCAGGCAGAATACATCGTGAGGAACAGTATTGGGCTTTTCACTGGCCAGGTGCAAGAACCATCATACATGTTGATGGATCATGATGACCAAATGAAAGCGTGGAGGGTGCTGATGGAGTCGAGGAAGTGCTATGCCATGGAGCCTTTCACGTTCATTTTTGAAAACATTCAGGACATGGAAACCTTCATGATTATTTGCAAAGACACCCTCAACCTGAGAGTAAATGCTGGAGTTGGGGTGCACAGTCACCCCTATACATTTTGTTAGTGTGTGTGTGTGTGTGTGTGTGTGTGTGTGTGTGTGTGTGTGTGTGTGTGTTACAGCGGAAAGAGTGTTCGTTTAAATGAACAGAGCTGTTACAGCGGAAAGAGTGTTCGTCTGAAGTGGACTGAGAGCTGTTACAGCGGAAAGAGTGTTCGTCTGAAGTGACTGAGCTGTTACAGCGGAAAGAGTGTTCGTCTGAAGTGACTGAGCTGTTACAGCGGAAAGAGTGTTCGTCTGAAGTGGACTGAGAGCTGTTACAGCGGAAAGAGTGTTCGTCTGTAGTGGACTGAGAGCTGTTACAGCGGAAAGAGTGTTCGTCTGAAGTGACTGAGCTGTTACAGCGGAAAGAGTGTTCGTCTGTAGTGGACTGAGCTGTTACAGCGGAAAGAGTGTTCGTCTGTAGTGACTGAGCTGTTACAGCGGAAAGAGTGTTCGTCTGAAGTGGACTGAGAGCTGTTACAGCGGAAAGAGTGTTCGTCTGAAGTGACTGAGAGCTGTTACAGCGGAAAGAGTGTTCGTCTGAAGTGGACTGAGAGCTGTTACAGCGGAAAGAGTGTTCGTCTGAAGTGGACTGAGCTGTTACAGCGGAAAGAGTGTTCGTCTGAAGTGACTGAGCTGTTACAGCGGAAAGAGTGTTCGTCTGAAGTGACTGAGCTGTTACAGCGGAAAGAGTGTTCGTCTGTAGTGACTGAGCTGTTACAGCGGAAAGAGTGTTCGTCTGTAGTGACTGAGAGCTGTTACAGCGGAAAGAGTGTTCGTCTGAAGTGACTGAGAGCTGTTACAGCGGAAAGAGTGTTCGTCTGAAGTGACTGAGAGCTGTTACAGCGGAAAGAGTGTTCGTCTGAAGTGGACTGAGAGCTGTTACAGCGGAAAGAGTGTTCGTCTGAAGTGACTGAGCTGTTACAGCGGAAAGAGTGTTCGTCTGAAGTGACTGAGCTGTTACAGCGGAAAGAGTGTTCGTCTGAAGTGACTGAGAGCTGTTACAGCGGAAAGAGTGTTCGTCTGAAGTGACTGAGAGCTGTTACAGCGGAAAGAGTGTTCGTCTGAAGTGGACTGAGAGCTGTTACAGCGGAAAGAGTGTTCGTCTGTAGTGACTGAGAGCTGTTACAGCGGAAAGAGTGTTCGTCTGAAGTGACTGAGAGCTGTTACAGCGGAAAGAGTGTTCGTCTGAAGTGACTGAGAGCTGTTACAGCGGAAAGAGTGTTCGTCTGAAGTGGACTGAGAGCTGTTACAGCGGAAAGAGTGTTCGTCTGAAGTGGACTGAGAGCTGTTACAGCGGAAAGAGTGTTCGTCTGAAGTGGACTGAGCTGTTACAGCGGAAAGAGTGTTCGTCTGAAGTGGACTGAGCTGTTACAGCGGAAAGAGTGTTCGTCTGAAGTGGACTGAGCTGTTACAGCGGAAAGAGTGTTCGTCTGAAGTGACTGAGCTGTTACAGCGGAAAGAGTGTTCGTCTGAAGTGACTGAGAGCTGTTACAGCGGAAAGAGTGTTCGTCTGAAGTGACTGAGAGCTGTTACAGCGGAAAGAGTGTTCGTCTGAAGTGGACTGAGAGCTGTTACAGCGGAAAGAGTGTTCGTCTGAAGTGGACTGAGAGCTGTTACAGCGGAAAGAGTGTTCGTCTGAAGTGGACTGAGCTGTTACAGCGGAAAGAGTGTTCGTCTGTAGTGACTGAGAGCTGTTACAGCGGAAAGAGTGTTCGTCTGTAGTGACTGAGAGCTGTTACAGCGGAAAGAGTGTTCGTCTGAAGTGGACTGAGAGCTGTTACAGCGGAAAGAGTGTTCGTCTGAAGTGGACTGAGAGCTGTTACAGCGGAAAGAGTGTTCGTCTGAAGTGGACTGAGCTGTTACAGCGGAAAGAGTGTTCGTCTGAAGTGACTGAGCTGTTACAGCGGAAAGAGTGTTCGTCTGAAGTGGACTGAGAGCTGTTACAGCGGAAAGAGTGTTCGTCTGAAGTGGACTGAGAGCTGTTACAGCGGAAAGAGTGTTCGTCTGAAGTGGACTGAGAGCTGTTACAGCGGAAAGAGTGTTCGTCTGAAGTGACTGAGCTGTTACAGCGGAAAGAGTGTTCGTCTGAAGTGACTGAGCTGTTACAGCGGAAAGAGTGTTCGTCTGAAGTGACTGAGAGCTGTTACAGCGGAAAGAGTGTTCGTCTGTAGTGACTGAGAGCTGTTACAGCGGAAAGAGTGTTCGTCTGAAGTGACTGAGAGCTGTTACAGCGGAAAGAGTGTTCGTCTGAAGTGACTGAGAGCTGTTACAGCGGAAAGAGTGTTCGTCTGAAGTGACTGAGAGCTGTTACAGCGGAAAGAGTGTTCGTCTGAAGTGGACTGAGAGCTGTTACAGCGGAAAGAGTGTTCGTCTGAAGTGGACTGAGAGCTGTTACAGCGGAAAGAGTGTTCGTCTGAAGTGACTGAGAGCTGTTACAGCGGAAAGAGTGTTCGTCTGAAGTGGACTGAGCTGTTACAGCGGAAAGAGTGTTCGTCTGAAGTGACTGAGAGCTGTTACAGCGGAAAGAGTGTTCGTCTGAAGTGGACTGAGAGCTGTTACAGCGGAAAGAGTGTTCGTCTGAAGTGACTGAGAGCTGTTACAGCGGAAAGAGTGTTCGTCTGAAGTGGACTGAGAGCTGTTACAGCGGAAAGAGTGTTCGTCTGAAGTGGACTGAGAGCTGTTACAGCGGAAAGAGTGTTCGTCTGAAGTGACTGAGAGCTGTTACAGCGGAAAGAGTGTTCGTCTGAAGTGACTGAGAGCTGTTACAGCGGAAAGAGTGTTCGTCTGAAGTGGACTGAGCTGTTACAGCGGAAAGAGTGTTCGTCTGAAGTGACTGAGAGCTGTTACAGCGGAAAGAGTGTTCGTCTGAAGTGGACTGAGAGCTGTTACAGCGGAAAGAGTGTTCGTCTGTAGTGACTGAGAGCTGTTACAGCGGAAAGAGTGTTCGTCTGAAGTGACTGAGAGCTGTTACAGCGGAAAGAGTGTTCGTCTGAAGTGGACTGAGAGCTGTTAAAGTGTGTGTGTGTGTGTGTGTGTGTGTGTGTGTGTGTGTGTGTGTGTGTGTGTGTGTGTGTGTGTGTGTGTGTGTGTGTGTGTGTGTGTGTGTGTGTGTGTGTGTGTGTGTGTGTGTGTGTGTGTGTGTGTGTGTGTGTGTGTGTGTGTGTGTGTGTGTGTGTGTGTGTGTGTGTGTGTGTGTGTGTGTGTGTGTGTGTGTGTGTGTGTGTGTGTGTGTGTGTGTGTGTGTGTGTGTGTGTGTGTGTGTGTGTGTGTGTGTGTGTGTGTGTGTGTGTGTGTGTGTGTGTGTGTGTGTGTGTGTTAGTGTTTTTATAAAGATAAATAAAGATACTCAAAAAGTGTACTTTACTACTGTCCACCACTGGTCCCATGTCACTTCTGTGTGTACACATGCTTCTTTCAAGTCATTTCCATTGTCAGTTTGAAATACTCTATAACGTTTCCCCAGACTTGTTTGTAGTTCTTTTTTCACGTAAGTGCAGATAGTCTAGGCAGAAATGCATATTATGTTCCTTTATTGTCTTTGTAAACAACATTAAAGAGATTATTTTCCGCATTTAGATTATATAGATATATATTAGCCTATATAGACCCATACTAATACAAAATTACTCAACTTAAAAGGTAACTAATAGCCGATTATAAATTAATAATTTATTTAATTTAATAATTAAATTTTAATCAAAAAAAATGACACCAAACCATCTGACAATACTGACCTCAGACCAAAACACGGCAAGTTAAGTCAGTTAAGCCTAATACCATACAGCAATGAATCGCAAAGGAGAGTGGGGGAAACTGATCATGTATGTTCATAACTCACAGTCACAACTCCTTTATTATTTTGGATTGGCAACCACGTAAACACATCGTAATGCAGCGTAAGCTACATTTAAAAACATCAAAATAGACCCGCTGTGAAATGTTAAACAAAATACAACTAAAGTTACACAAACATTGAATGTCTATGTTACACAAATACCGGTATGCCGCAAGTTGTGCCGCCTGGCCGTAAAGTGTTTCATCCACGCATGCGTGGTACCGATAGTGTAGGAAAACCGTGACGTCTTCTACTACGTAATTACGCGCATGCGTAGAACGGATCGTGCAGATGGAACGGATCGTGTACCGACAGTGCCTTCATCCCTGAGCCAAGACCAGGACGGTGTGTTTACACGACATAGACAAAAAAAACAAGAAGAAAAAATATCATTATAATCTTATAACCGACAAAAACATCTAAGCAAATAACTGTTTCACTCTCTCGTTAGCCAGCTAGCCTTCATTCAGAGATGAAGTAACGGAGTGTGTGTGTGTGTGTGTGTGTGTGTGTGTGTAAATAATACGTGCTACGCTGTTTATGTAGACAACACTGCCAAAGATGCATTCAAATACGTTAGCCGTTTAAATGCTCAATGGTTTACATAATGGTAACGTTAAAGGAAGCAGGAAAATGGCGTTATCTCTTGTTAACTCAGCTCTTTATGAGACTCCCTGTAGTGGACCTCGCAACGGTTTAATCGTAATTTTATTTGGCTTTAAGATAAATAAAATTTCCTTTATGAGACACATATTTATCGCCTTTTGTCTAGATTGATTAACGTTACTCTAGTAGTACTGATTGTATCCGCGAAATTCCAGTCCTTTTAACGCGGTTTATATTATACAATGACCTTTAGACTGAAGGCTGTGTGTGTGTGTGTGTGTGTTCAGTTCCTTTAGTCTTTATACTGGAGTGAGATATGGTTATATGACAGGACCACTGCTGTGTCTCGAAATCTATTGAGATGCCAATTTAGGCAGCATTTTAGTCCATCAAAGACGCCTTCGAACGTTATTGAATGTTTAGAAGTTATAAATTAAAAAAGCTTAAGTGTTCGAACGCATCGTGATCCACGAAAACGAGTGATTCCCACGCTCATATGTGCAGAAATGTTCGATTGCGGCTATAAATGGCCAGAAATGCCCATAAATGCTTGATTCGAACGCACATGTACTGTAAATATTCGATGCGAAGCTTCGAATTGCCTATAACGGTCAGAAATCGATTCGAACTCGCATATGATGACCAAAAAGATTTGTTTGGAAGATTCAAAAGTGTCCATACCCTCAAAATTAGTTCACAATGATCTACCGGTATTTAGGTAGGCAGACTAGGCACCTCTCTAGGCTCCAAGACACAGCCATAGATTATTCCCATCACACGCATCTTAAAGCTGAATGAATCTCTAGAGGTACCTAAACTAGGAATTTACCTTTTCTAATTAAATTGAATCCATGCAATGACTGAAATGAGTATATTTTTGAGGCCTTATGTTAGTAAACACCATGTTCTATGGTTAAAAAAATCAGTATGCATTTTGAAATTAAATGTGCCGTTTTGGTCTTAATGTATTTTCATTACAGTATGGAGAATATTACCAGTCAGCTGAAGTGTCTGGTATTCCATTTTTACTGGCCGTTGGCTTGAATGTTTCTCTGGCCGAAAGGTTTGAATAAATGATGATGGGGATGTAGTTTCGCTGACACACAGTCTGACTTCGGTCTAGGATGACTAAAAACAACAGTCTTGGAAGTACAGTGCATCGCAGTGTGCAGAAAATCAGTCAGGCCGGCATACTTTCTGTTCATAAAAACAGTCTTGGGTTAAAAATTGATTTGCATGTGTTAAACATTTAGTCTCTTATTACTGCTTGTGTGTTAAAGGGTTAGTTCACCCAAAAATGAAAATTATGTCATTAATTACTCACCCCCATGCTGTACCAACCCCGTAAGCCCTTCGTTCATCTTCGGAACACAAATGAAGATATTTTTGATTAAATCTGAGAGGTGGATCACTGCTACATATAGGCTGCCTAAGGGAATGAAACTTGACGGCCCAGAAAGTCATTAAAGAAAATGTTTAAATATTCCATGTGCCTACAGTGGCTCAACTATAAGTTTATCAAGCGACGAGAATACTTTTTGTGCGAAAACCCCCCCCATAAATAACGACTTTATTCGACTATTCCATTACTTCCTTGTGGGCCTGAGACGAGAGTTCTAGTGAAGAGAGGTTGCATAATGTTTTTCACTGATTCAGGAAGAAAGGAAAAGAAGTCAGCAAAACCAGAGACTTAGGCAGGAAGAAAACTGTATATCCTGTCCATGAATTCCACACTAAAGTAAAGCTATGTTATGGACAACACATCATTGCAAATTAACTACTGTTCCTTGAATACTTATTTGGCAGGTGCTTTTATCCTTAGTAACCTGCATTGCATTCCCAACGCCTCCACTTCATGCTTTCCCTGGGAATTAAACACATGACAGTGGCATTGTTAGTGCCATGCTCTACTGCTTGAGCTACAGGAAGGCTAAACAGCCTTGCAATGCATTTCACTCAACTATACTGAGGATAAGACAGACAAACTGTATGAAATGCATGAAAATTTGACACGACTGTTTTTAACACTTGTTTTTCTTTCTTTTATCTTGGCAGGAGCAGTGAATGGAGATCTGCATGGGGTAAGACCTTGAAGACTTCTTGCCTGTATTTCATCAAACTCACAATCTGTTAATATTATGATGACATTTGATTTAGAGTTGTCTCTTGCAAGTATTTATATAGCTGCATTTTCACTGCAAAGACTGCATTGGGTTATGCGTGGATCCACAATTGCAGATGATAGGAAATAAGCGAGCAGTGTGCATTACAACAGAACAAAAGACTATACTAAATCTAGACTTGCTTTAAACTTTTGATTCCTTTCAAGCACTGGCTCTAAATAGCTGAAAGCTGATGTGTGTATATTTGTATACGGTACTATAAAGCCCAGTTTCATATTTGATGCATGAATTTCTAAGGCTTCTAAATGATCTGAAATATCTGTTGTAGACAATCTATTACATGCCTTCTGCCCTCTGATTGATAGTTCATACTTTTTTACGAAGTGAAATGCCTTTTAGTATAATTGTTAAAATGTCCATCGTAAGTTTGTTGTACGTGTCTTTTGCTGTGAAATCTTTAATGATTTTTATAAAGTAAATGTACAGTTACTTTTATATTGTTAGTAATATTTCAAGATGAACATTTACTGGACTGAACCAACTTAGGTTTATAATCCATACATATTTTTTTAATAGAAAAATCACGTTATATATTTTATATATACATATAAATATGAAGTATGATGCAATAGGCTTTTGAGGAATGTTTATTTGTATATCTCCATCATTTATGTTTGTGATCATTATATGTATATGATCAAAACTACAAAGCTTTATCATAAAACTAACATAGTGACATTTGAATTTCATATGCATTTTATGTAATTCATCTGCTATACTGTTATACAAATATGATTTACATTACAGTATATACAAATTTCATCTTTTTGGCCATTTAAATATCACCAAATTGCAAAGGTTTGCTCCATTTTGGCCTCTGAAATTTTTAAATGTATATTGTATATAAATACAATTAATAAACACACTTGCAGTTTAATTCTGACTTGTTTAATACGTCAGGCTTTACTGGGTTAAATTAGCCTGTGAGCTGGATAGACGAGGCCCGTTTTACCAGTCACTCATATTTTAAATGTTTTTATATTTTCAATTCAAATATATAAAAAAATTTATTTAATATAATTTACAAATCACTGATCCAAACTAAAGGAGCTGATGCACTAAAGAAGTGTATCAACTAAATGGTGTACTGCGATTTGTATGGTTTGGACTCCTAATCTTTGCTGTGTGTGTTTTGTAGGAGAGCAATGGTCCTTCAGACGTGTATGCGGCCATCTCCAGTGTCGATCGGTTGCAGGCCGAGCCGGAGAGCTTGAGAAAGTGGAGAGAGGAGCAGCGCGACCGGCTGGAGGAGCTTGGTAACTTGAGCAAAGATGTAGATGTTATTCTTAAGATATTGAAACATTTCATCTATGGCTGACTGATATTCCTCTGCTGTTTTTCAGACGCTAACTCGCGTACGCAGGAGGTCGAGTGGAAGGAGAAAGCAAAGCTGGAGCTGGAGGAGTGGCACCTCAGGCAGAACGAGCAGCTGGAGAAGACCAAAGTGAACAACAGGTACACGACACTGTTCGAGCAGCTGAAGTCTAGAAGTGAGCCCTGGTTACAAAAGCACTAGAAAGTGCACGGCTCCTCCACCGTACTCGACGGCAAGGTGTATGCTGGGTCACAGTGTATTCATATCTCATACAGATTTGGAATAACATGAGTGAATAAAGGATTCATGATCATTTTTGAGTGAACAATTCATATTAAAACCAGCGAAATGGTAACTATTTTGTGGTGCTAATAATATGAGAACAGTGAAGAGGCAGATTTGAGATTCTGACCTTGTTGAATGATCATGTGATTGTGCCCATGGACACTTCTGCTGTGTTTTGGTCACATGATCATGTCTGGTCCAATCTGATAAAGATGCTATATCTATGATTGGCTCCAGATGTTGTATTCAGCTATTAGAATAAAATAAGGAGTTCTATGCAAAGCTCTCTGCTTCAGGGAAGCATCTGAATGAACTTTACAATTAGACGTGCGGACTAGGATTCAATCCAATTTTCTATTAAAAAGAACGCAAGTGAGTCAAAAGTACAATTTTCTATTTTAGTTTCAAGTGCATGTTTTGTGCTTCCCCATTCAGTCCTAGTGAAAGTTTCAAGTATGTTTTGGTACAAATAAAAATGATGTCGTCTTAAACCTCTTTCTGTATATCTGTCCTCATTCCTTTGAATGTGAAATCGTTCTCTTAATTCCTTATTTATTTGTCCTGTTTGTCTCTGTCTTTCTCTCTTGTGTGCCATGTTGTCCACTTTTTTGTACTTGGCCTGGTGTTAACACTGGTATGGTAACACTGCAGTGTGTTTTGACTCTGTATGAGTGTTGTTTTTCTCCTTTTTACCACTCTCTCTGTTCTCTCCTGCTTCGCTGCTCTCCTCTGGGACTCCCAGGGTGCTGGATGAGGATTTCTACAAACAACCCTTCGCTGATCTGATTGGTTATGTGTATGTTGCTAAACTAACATCCTTTCTTTTCACATGCATTTCTCATTAACTCATTTTCCTGCATCTCATCTTTTTTCATAACCTGTTACTCTTACTCATTTCTAACCAAATGCTTAGTTAACTACATATTTAAAACCAGGGTGATTTTTAGTTTTCTTCAAATACTAATTAGACAAATAATTCTGCACATTATGCATGTTGTCCACCCCCCCCCCCCCCCCCCCATTATGGTTAAGTTACATAACAGATTTTATATGTCTTGCCCATTAAGTCATTTCTCATTTGTCTTTTTTTTTTTAAATTTATTATTTCTTTTTTCATGGTCATTTCTAAAAAGTTTATGAAAACCATTTTTTTCTCATGTTTGTGTCGTGCATTTGTCATGTCTGCACTTTGTTTACATTCAAGATATGATGTCTAAACATTTGTATAAATTGTGAGATTATTTAATGTTATTGTTTGTCTAACATTATTATTAATTGAGATTTATTGATATATACTAGCAGCACAATTTAGTGCAGTAGTAGTGTATCTGTAATACAGCAGTAGTGACTTTCTAAGCAACTACGTCTCTGGCTCGTATCAAAGCCAAGCCATAGTAAACCAGCCAGTAGTATAATTGCTAAAAATAGAAATGTACTTATTTTGCTTATAGATACATTTTTTTTTAATGTGTTGCCAAATTTGGTAAAAGGTGGCGAAAATAAAGGTGCACTAGGTCATTTCTTTCAGTGCAATTTATAGAAATGTGTGTATTATATATATAATATAATCTATATAAAGAAAAAATGCTGATTTTATTTTGGCCACATTTTTTCCCCCAAATAAATTGAAAACGGTTGGCAAGGCTTTCAATTGATTTACTTGCTAACTTTAACCAATTCTGTTAATCTTCCTTTGGTTGGCCGGTGTCAGTCTCAAAATGATAAATTATTGAGTGATACAAATTTTTCGTTTAAACCAAGACTTGGTGCACCTTTATCCCATGGCTGGTGTTTTCGGCTGGACACCTAGTTGCTTCTGTTAGATGGAGTATTGTAGAGTACGGTGTGTCTAGGTTGAGCAAAGCTGTCCCAGGCTAGAACTGTAACTGTCCTCTTAGTTCTGCAGCCCTCATATTCATCATGGACATCTTACTGCTTCTGCCTATTCTGCAGAGCTATTGTAAACATTAGCTGCTTTTCTTTTGCTTGGTAAATGTCTCTCAACTGAAGCGCCAGTTGAGATCGCCGACCGCCGCAAGCGGCGCGTACATCAATGACGGCTGCAAGCTAAGCGCACATAGAAGCACTCCTAAGATGACTTGGGTTTTGAACAGTGCATGCCTGCTTTGGTCATCTGCATAAATCTCATTTCTTTTGGTTTTCTATATATCTGACTTGTGATCTGTTTCTCCTTGTTTTTCTTTTCTCTATGCACCTTTAAGCACTCACATTAACCATCCTTGCTACCGCCTAGACCAGTTAAGTAAAAAAGAAAAAAAAGAAAAAGAAAAATAAAGACAAGAAAACCAAATATGCTCAGGGAACAAACACCACTTATTGCAAAGTTATACACCAATGAATTGCTGTCTTTATTATCAACATGTTTCTGCTAAAGTTAAGATTCTGGATGTCCTTTTGTGGTGATGTGTTGGTGCACTAGTCCTGTACGTTGATGTAGTTGATTGTGACCGTGATTTACCTCATTGGCTTTTCATACCCATTTTGCTGTGTATACTGTGTGATAGTGGAGAGGCTAATGCAACTCTACTGGACTGAGTCCACGGCAGCGGAAAGGGTCGGTAATGGGCCGGGAGGAAACGGGAATAGTCGAATATGGTCTCAAAAAGCTCTCTGAAGATTTTTGCTAAGAGCTCTTTAGCGTTTGGCTTGCCAGAAACTTGGTTTAGTTGCCCCATGCTCAGCAGAAGGCCCCGCTTTTGGTCACTGCCAACGCATGGCACGTTCAGCCTTTGCACAAAGATTTAGTGGTTAAAATAAGCTAATTGGCCTGCCAATCGCTGCGTTGAAGGTTTATTAGCGTACATGATTCCTTGACATTCCTCTGACCACCAAGAGATGAGGAATGGCCCACAATACAAGGACTTTCAAAGTACAACAAATTGTTTTAACCAACTGAATCACTGCAAAATTTGATTGTGGCTGTTCTGGAACCTTTTCCTGCCTGTAAGATCGAGACTAGTTCTGGTAATGGTGGGTTGGGGGCATGATGCTCAAACTACCATCTGTTTTGGATGTGGTCACCTGAAGAATGTATTGTTGGATGGAAATAACCATTGTTTTTCACCTAGACACAGAGCTGCTTTGGTACACATACCTCTGACCTCCTAACAAAGCACCTTGCAAAACAGTTCAACCATTTTTTTTTTAGAAGCTCCTTTTGGTGAACAAGTTTTCAAAACCTATGTTGAGTTTGCATAGTCATTCATGTCAACTATATAGTCAATTAATGATGGAAACATTTCTTAGCCAATAAGATATCACAGTTCTCGAGGCATTATGGAGGTCAGCGGTTGTGTGCTTAAGCGGGACGTGTCTGAGAGTGTTTTCCGGTTTCTGTCCGAAGCTGATTGTGGTTTCTCGTCGGCAGGGCGGCTGAGGAAGCCATGGTGTCGGAGCTTGATGAGAACAGCCCTGGCACAGAATGGGAGCGCGTGGCGCGCCTTTGTGATTTCAATCCCAAGTCCAGCAAGCAGGCCAAGGACGTCTCCCGCATGCGCTCAGTCCTCATCTCCCTGAAACAGGCCCCTCTCGTCCGCTAAGCTCCGCCCCTGGAGACCTCCAAACCACACGTCCCAGCAGCCATTGGGTTTCACGACATTGATTCCTTTGTGGTCCCATCCTAATGGCTTGGAGCTCAATTTCCATATATAAATAATCTATATTATATTATTACATAATATGATATAGGTATATCTATATATTCCATCTATAAATATATACATTATATATAACAATGTTCAGATTGTTTTTATTTTTGGTGTCTATTTAAAGGACCAAACGTCATGTTCATTTTTCCATGTAGACAGAGTGTGTGGCATTGTGACACTATCTATGCATTTCCTTCCTAAGATGTTTCGGGAATACAGTACTAATTGTCTTGTGTATGTTGTATACAGATGGTGGATATAGCCTGTGTGCGTAACTATGTACATAAAGACCGGTCCTCTACACTTCATTGTGAGATTACGGCAAAAGTTGTTGATGAACAGAGCTGTACCCCAGTAAATGTCACCTCATGTTGTCCATTCTGTTTCAGTATGATTAAACACATTTCAAATGGTAAGTGTTTGTGTTATTTAGGGGAGGGAAAGGATTATCAATGTACTTACCTAAAGGTTTAGCTCAATTTACACAATTTTAGAGGATTCATTTAACAATTCTAAATCTAAATATTTTGTAGGGATGAAATAAATATTAATCTTGTTGACTACTCACTGATGGGTCATGGACTTATTGAAAATGAAATCAGGTTTGAATTATGCTTATACCATGGTTACTATACAACATATTGTTCAAGTGTTTTATTTTCATGAGATTTGTCAGGTTTTTGTCCTTAAAACGCTCTTGTGTGCTGACATACTTTTTACGTTTTCACCTCGGTGCTGAGAACTGTATGGCCACAACATAACTCATAATGATAAACTTTTGTACTGATTTACAGTAGTTTCTCATGAGATGACAAAGTGTTTATTATAAGGCATTTTTAATGAGAAATTATATTTATGGCTATGATCATTTCTGTTTACCAAAGTGTTTAATGATTTTATTTTTTTCCTCAATTTTATTATAGTAAAGTTTCTTATGACTTACTGATTGATTTTTGTTTACTTAACTGTGGTGGAAACAGCCCTCCATGATTAAAGTAAAGATTTAAACATTTTTTTTACTTTGAAATAAAATCTAGTTCTGGTTTTGTCAAGCAATTACTTTTCCAGGTCTAGAAATCAGACGTTTAGAATTAGGATACCTCATATATATATATATATATATATATATGCAGGTTTTGTTTTAAATCACTTATTTTGAGACCCCTTGGAAGTTTGCACTGCGGTAGGTTGCAAGGGTCTTTGAAATAAATTGTAAATAATATTGTCTTTGAATAAATATTAATAATAAAGTGATATGGAACTGTAATGTGGTCAAGACCTGCCTGAAACTAAAATGAAAACTAATAACACCTTAAAAAGGTTGCGAACCAATGAAATCAAACATTCAACAGCCACGTGCTATAAATTATTTCATTTATTGGTCAAATCTTACAATGGCACAAGCTAACTAGAACAAAATATGTGTTCTAGGAAGACCATAAAATCATCTTTATACACTTTTTAAAACATTTGTTTTGCTGGTAATTTAAATAGTAAATAAAAATTGGCTTGGTAGAAACAGTAACAGGCGTCTTTGAAACAAAAGCCTACAATATTACATTCACGAGGAATCCTGCTAGTTAAAGCTCTCGCCACTAAATGCTGAGCCCAGTGACAAACTGAGCAGGGTGATGATGATGATGATGATGATGATGATGATGGGACAAAACAGTTGCTGTTGATCTATGATAAAGTCTCAAGATCCATCATGGATGCAGCTTTTCTCCGTAGTGACATCACATTCAGCTGAAAGGGAAAAATCAGTTTAGAGAGGGTTCTGTGCACCCTTTGTCCAGCAGCTACAGAGGGCAACAGTTGAGTTGTGGAAGTAAAAATGGCAAAATATGTTTCTATATACAGCACTCACCGGCCACTTTATTACATACTCCTTGCTAGTACCAAGTATATAAAAACATCTTTAAATCAATATTTTTACATTGTTTTTAGTTGATTTAATGCTTCAAGGGATTGTTGTTCTTTCCCTCACTAAAGCTGTTAAGTACAGTCTTGTCCAATTTTTTTATATTTTGCTTCAAATCAAAGTTTGTAATGTTGTGATTCACCTCGTAGCTGGTGGTTTGGTTCACGGCTTAATTTTTTTTTTTTTTTTTAATCCCTAAAGGAAAAATACTTTCGGAAACAAGCTATTGAAAACATGGGCAGGCACTGTTGCATTCTATAGGCAGGAAGTGTGTAAATATCCAGTATGGGTCATGTACCTGTTGTGAAGCACTTGTTGCACGTTGCTCTGCCTGAGTGAGACGCCTCTGTAAACGCGTGCTTTTCTCCAGCTGCTCTGAAACCTGCCTCTCATACTAGAGACAGAAATGATGACATTACTCATTATACAACATCTTTCTAGGTAGAACCAAATCTGCAAGTACTGTCCACACCTCCAGCATCTTCTGATGGTCAGCTTCCATCTGGATCTCCAGTTCCTGAACACGCTGTTTCTGTCTGTTCAGCTCTGACCTGCAATGACCACAATCATTTCATGGAACCTTGACCAGCTTTATTCAATACACTTCACACTACATTTAATCAATAAGCCTGTTATAATATGGAAGCTAATTTCTTACTATGATGGTAGAAAGATTCTGTGCTGAAATTCCCCTCACCAAAGGCAAGATTTTTTATGAAACAATTTATTTTTTATGGCAAGAGTGTTGCATGAGCATTAACAAATTCACATCCATGTAGGATGAGTTATATACCAAAGTTTAATACTAAGTGCTCCGGTCAGATCGCAAACCCTAAATATGAGTCACAGTAATGGAAGTGCTGTTTGCCAAGGCAAGAATCACCGTCTCAAGTGTGTTTGAGCGTTCACCTGAGGCTGCTGAGTTTCTGCTGGAAAGCCTGTGTGAGGTTCTTGGCCTCGTCTTTGTAGCGACTGATGGTTTTCTGTTGAGCGAGCACCAGTCTGGTCAAACCGGTGCTGGAGTTTTTACTGCTCTCCTCCATCTCTCTCAGCCTGGACTCCAAACTCTGCTCCTTCACACACAGCTCCTGCTGCATCGAAGACACCTACACACGCAAAAGAATCCTGTTAAAGATGCCATATTTATACTTCTACTGCTAGACCATTTATAATGCTACTCAAGGATTCTTACACTGAAGCAAGAACATTTGAGATTTTGATTACCATATTTAATCTATTTTATGCGCATTGATCAATGTTTATGTGAATAAATGCCTAAACTAAGCCAATTTTAAATCATGAAAAGCGATTGTCTCTCTTCAGAAGACATTAATCTGTTAAATTCATACAGATTATTTTTTTACAAAGTTCTTATGGACTTTTGGGCAAATAGACTTTCAACGGAGGGACATTTGTGTTTTGAAGATGAAGTCTAATTAGTTTGGAACAACATGAGGATGAGTGAAAGATGACAGAATTTTCATTTTTTGGGTGAACTAAAGTTTTAGAGATTTTATTTAAATGATGTCTGCCATGATTGGTTAACCTCAGCATATCAATGTAATTCACACTGTGGTTCATCAGGTCGTGTGGGTGGATATATGCTAATGTGCTCATGGTTGTGACATCAATATATATATATAAAAAATGTTTTCTATAACACAGCCCTTAAAAAAATGCTTAAAGGTATAGTTCACCCAAAATGTACTTTCTTCTGCGGAACAACAAACACATTTTAAAGAATGTTTCCGAGCTGTTTTTGTTCATACAATCAAAGTCGATGGGGTCCAAAACCGATGTTGACAAAAAAAATGAATAAAAGAACACAAACACAAGTACTACAGTAGACAACATTTGAAGAGTATCAAAAACTTTCATCAAAGTTATACATGAATTTTGAACAATACTCGTTCTTGTCTTAGGACAACTTTGATGAACTTTTTTGATCCACTTCAAATGTTGACTACTGTATTTCAGAATATCATCTTTTGTGCTTTTTGAGTGCTCATCTTTTTGAAATGACATGAAGGTGAGTAAATGATTGTATCCCATCTTTGTGTCACTGTGTTGTGTGTGACCTGTTGTTTGGCACGTCTCTGAGCCAGTGCACACTCTTTGCGGAGTGCCTCCATGTCTCTGTGCAGCTGCTGGTTGTCTTGCTGCAGTGTGAGTCTCTCTTCACTGATGGCTGTGCTCTCTTCTCTCGAGCTCGACAGCGCTGACTGCAGTCTCCGCACCTCCTCCTGACAGCGTGACAGCTCCTCTGAATACCTGCACAAGCACACAGGAAACTATTATGGACCAGCCTTAGATTCACTCTGTCTAGTTCATGAGCGTGTGTGTGTGTGTTCTCACTCCATCTCCATCTTCTTCATCTTGTTCTTCGTGCTGTTGAGCGTGAGTTGTGTTTCATCCTTCAGTCGTTCTGCATTTAAACATCTCTGATGGAGAGCCTCCATCTTCCTCATCTCAGGCTCTCCAATTTGGCCCTCTTTATAGACCTACAAAACACACATTTTTTTGATTAATGGTTTTGAAAGAAAATCTGCATTTTTATATCAAAAATACAAGAAAAGCAGTAATAATGTGAAAAATGTGTACTATTTAAAATAACTGTGTTCTATTTGAATATATTTAAAAATGTAATTTATTCCTGTGACAGCATCATTACCAGTACTTTATTCTTCAGTGTCACATGATCCTTCACAAATAAAAACAGTTCTGCTTCATACTTGTGTACACCATGATAGTTTTTTTCAGGATTCTTTGATCAATAGAAAAAAGCATTTATTTAAAATAATTTTTCGTAACTGATAAAAAAAAGTAACAGTAAAGATATTTGCAATTTAATGCATCCTTGCTAAATCAATATCTATCTATCCATCCAAAGAACACATTTTTACAGATCATTTGTCTTATATTACATTTTATGTTAAATAGCCACTCCAGGCAGTGCATGATAACAGGTTTTTACCACATTTTAGAGGGGGTTTTGCACTTTGTGTCATTTCATGCCCTATAACACCCCTTAACTATGATAATATCACAGCAACATACAGTCTTACTGCAGTTAATTATATATGAGTAAAAATGTGCATTTATTTTCACCTTTTCCAGCTCCTCTTCCACAGCTTTTCTCTCCCGGTGGGCTCTTTCAATCTGTCTCTCTTTATCGGCACATTCCTACACACAACCATAGGAAATATGTTAATATACATTAGCAACAGTTGCTGCTGTGCACATCTGTACATATGATTATGATGATGAATGCGTCACCAGTTGCAGGGCAGACAGCTCCTCAGCCATGCGATGAATCTGAACGTTACACTGCTTACGAACACTCTCAACCTAATAAAAGAGGAAAAGAACAGAAAACTATAAGCCACACAAAGATGGAAATAATATATGCACTGTGATCACAGATTAGCTGGATGTCAAAACACTAGAATGACACTGACTTCACTGTGCCATAACCATGCTTTGTCAGTGCAAACTGTTAGGCTATGCTTGGCTGTAGAGATCTAAAGGGTTTGCAGCCGTACGGTTGCCTTTAGTTCAAACTGTAACGATGAATCAGACTAGGCTTAAAGAGACTGGCTACGGATCTAAATAAATGACAAAATAAAAAAATCAAATATAAACACTTTACTTCAAATATTAAGTGTATTTAGTAAAAGTATAATTATTGTTTACCTGCATGTCATGAGACCATTAACCAAATTCAAAGAAACCCAAAGATGCAAATGTGTTGTTGAATTATTGAAACGTTAACTTAAAATCTCAGAAGGCACTGCACGTAAATACTTTGATGTAAAGGGAGACAAAAGGCCAGACCAAAATGCATCGATCCCTCAAGGCTACTCTGACAAAGAACCATAGGGGCTTTCGCACTGGAGGAACGTTCTCATAGTTCCTGTAACTATTGGCAGAAGTACACGCTTTTTTTGGCATGTTCGCACCTCACTGGGAACAATTTTAGTTATAGGAACACCTTTTGGGGGGCCTAAATTAGCTCCTACTTTAGAGTAGGGTCTAACCCAGCACAATAGGAACTACTAGTGACGTAAATGTATGGTGATTGGCTGAACGCATGCCATATGAAACACCATCATGTAAACACAAAGTTTACATATACTTACTCCACAAACATGGATAGATAGCATTTACCTGTCACCTTTGTCTTGGGTTGGGTTTTTAGCACTGCAAGTTGTCGTAGGAGATTTCGTCTCTTATCCCATTTAAATGTATACATCTACATTCCATCTCCGTCATCACGAAACTCACGACACAACAAAAACACAGCTCCGATCACATTATCATCCATCCTCCAGTTGTTGTTGTTGTTGACGAAGTCGCTGTCGGCCGGCTTGCGTCACTTCAGAGTTCCTACTGGCCGTGTAAATGCAACCTGGAAAATGGCCCTAGGGGTAGTTCCTATAACTACCTGGTGCAAAAGCCCCTCATGATGCCTGAAATTTTGTATAATAGGCTCATTAGGCCTAATTGAACCTGTCTGAGATTAGACTTGAAGCCTCCAGCTTATTCTTTTGTCTCCCTTTGCTGAGTTGAAGAACCCTGGCTGTGATCACCTCTTTCCTGGTGCGCAGGGCAGCATCCTGGATCAGCTGCTTCATGGCATCTTTCATCTTCTCCAGCTCTTCTGCTCTCTGTTTCTCCCTCAGCTGAGCCTACAGTAACATACACACAGAATTATTTGTGAGTATATGAAGTCAGGAAGATATAGAAGAGAGTATGTATTGGGCCCGTGCGGTGTACGTGGAGCGTGACCTGTTCTCTCTGAAGCGAGGCTTCCTCAGCCAGCTGGATGGAGTTGCGGAGGCGACTGAGGGCTTCAAATTTCTCCTCTTCCAGTGAGGCGCAGCGACCCTGCAGTTCTCCAACTCTCCGCTCCCACTCCGTCTGCTTCCTGCGCACTGACTCAGAATCCTGTGTCGCAGCTTTGAGTCTGGAAAACAAATACATAAATAAAACAACATCCATATTTTCAACAAGATATTAAAAGGAAACAATATATACAACAAGATATTAAAAGGAAACAATATATACAAAGTCCTCCTTTAATTTGTAAAAATAAATGAAGTAATATAAAAGATTCTTCTTCTACCATCAATTCTGAAATGCATTTTTTTTCCTATCTTTGGAGGCTGGGCCCATTTTTAAATGGTTATATACATATACACACACACATATATATATATATATATATACATATATATATATATATATATATACACACATATGTATACCAAACAATTTACTCAGATATACATTTTTTATAGAGAGGCCTGGGACAAAATTTCTTCATCAAACATTGTGTGAATAGATGTGTGGCAAATTCTTAGGGTTAATATTTCATATTTAGATTAATTTTCATTTTGGATGGTGTGACCAGGCAAACATCATGTGTTTAAATGCAGTAAAACAGTAATATTGTGAAATATTATTACAATTCAAAACAACTTTTCTATTTAAACATTTTAAAATGGCAAAAGCTGATTTTTCAGCATCATTACTCCAGTCTTCAGTGTCAAATGATCATTCAGAAATCATTCTAATATGCTAATTTGGTGCTGAAGGATCATTTATTATTATCAATGTTGAAAAGAGTTGTACTGCTTAATATTTAAACAGAATTTATGTGAAATTGAAATAATTTGTAACATTATAATATAAATGTATTTTACTATCTCTTTTGATTTATTTAATGATGCATACAAAATACATAAATATAACATAGTTTTGAACACCAGTGCACAATACATACAACATCTAACTACTATCACAGTTTCTTCATCAACACAGCTTTCAATCTAGCGGTCACAGTGAAATCATAATTGATAGACTTCACCTGGCCTCTAGCTGGTTCAGTGCTGCTTGTAGTTGCTGTAATCTCCGGTCAGAAGCTTCCTCTCTACCGTGAGCTTCTGCTGCGTCCTCTTCCTGCACCATCACACACACGACATTATTAGAAAACACACAGTAGGGTGATAAGAACACTTACATAAGGACAATTATAGCCACATCTCTCACCCTCCTCTGCATCTGATCCTGCACATTCTGCAGGAGTCTGGTCATCTCCTCCACTTTAGTCGCGGCAGATCTCTGCTCAAGTTTAGCTTGCCTGAAACATCATACAGAAACACAGACATAAATGTGATTTTTTGTTGTACTTTCGAAATAAATTTGACCTTTTTACTACATTTTATTGATAGCATAGTGGTGAGAAGACAGGGTGAATGGGATCGAAAATGCACCACAATCTTTTAAAATCAGTAAGATTTAAAGTAGAACAGTAAAAAAAAAAAAAAATCAATCTTTCAAAATTCAAATCTCCAAAACAGACCTCGAGTGAAGGTTAAGTCATAAAGAGTTGGCCATCTGGAAACGCTACCTGAGTTGGCTGCGTAACTCCTCCAGCGCACTGCTCTGTTCCGCCACCGTCTTAAGGAACTGCTGATTGGTCTGAGTGTGACAGGACAGACATGAACGCCGGCCGGGCATAACACCAAACACACACACACACACACTTCAAAGAAATACACAAGGATGAAGAACGGAGGAGAGGATGAAGGCTGTTTAGAAGTTAAGATGGAATAGGTGTGAAAAAGTTGGGTGTGTGCGAGCTACACTGCTCATTAAATATTCAGGAATAGAGTAGTGTTTCCCTTCACAACCACTAAACGCATACACACACACACAAAGGCTGAACAATGCACAACACAGGTGTAGTTCTGACTGGTGTGAGAAAATGTGTGTGTGTGTGATTAAGACAGCAAGGATTAAGCCTTTAAATCCATTGCATAACAACTGACTGAACACAGAACCCCCTAATAAAACCCTTCCATACAATGATATATCATATCCAAACATTTTCCGGGTAAAAATGAATTTGTGGAAAATTATGTAAAAAGGGGCTTGATTTTATCCATCTGGATCTGATTTGTACTGATAATGTACAATCACTTGGCTATTATCACAAAATAAAGAGGGTTTGAAGGGGTCTATTTACCAAATAAATACATAAATGCACTTGAAATATTGCAATGTATTTGCTTATTGTATTCCTCATTTGTAAATTGCTTTGGATTCAACGTCTGCTAAATGAACATGTAAAATGCAATGATTTTATTAAGTGAGAACAAAGAGGCTGCAAAGTGATATGAGAGACAAGAAAGTTTTAGAAAGTTATTTCAAAGGCGCAGAAACTTTTACGTTACATTGTGAAAGATCATGAAAGATTATTTCATTAGGAAGAAACATGCACAATACACCAAGGCATTAACTTTGGAAAGAAAATACAGTAGATTTAGATTTTAACCAGTACCGTTTACATATTGAAAGAGGCAGTCTTACCGATTCCAGCTTCTGATTGGCCAGCTGGAGCTTCTGTGCATGTTGTTGCATCTGTGCCAGCTGATTCTAAAACAGCACAGTGATCGTCAGTGAGAGCACAGACAAAGTATTTCAATAATTAAGTAATGTGTATTATAATAAGCTACAAGCCATAATTAAGCCAATATTTTACAGCCAACAGCTAATATTGAATTCATATATTCATATAATCCGTCTCGGCATGCCTTCTGGTTTATATGAAAGTGCTGGGGGGTCTGTTGGTTCTGTTAACTGTGCCTGCATGTAGTTAAACACTGCCCTCTAGTGTTCAAAAATCATATTACATATTCTAGACAAAAGTGAAAAAATGTGAAGTGTTTATTGAAAAAAGAGATTTAGATAAAGCTGTCTGCACACCAAATATGTGCTAAAACTCAAATGGGTTGAATCTGTAAACACAAATGTGAGTTTGCACTGGCTACCTGCATGTGCTGCCGTTCAACCGCATGTATTTGTCCATCACTCATGGAGCTCTGGTACTGGGTCTGAAGACGATCCAACTCCTGCGAAGCGGTCTGCCACATCTGAAGAGCCCGTTCTTTCTCCTAAAGACACACACAGAACAAACTGAAGTTAAACATTCTATGATTGTGGCCTTTCATGACTAAACTCTCTAAATATCTTTGAGGTCTGACATGATATTAATGTAGAGTACAGAAGCAATGTTAATTGAACTGAATGGATGTCTGGTTAGTGTAGCATGGATAGCTGGTTAGTATAGACCATGCCAGGCATGAAAGCGAGGCTGTGAGGGATAGACTTGCCGTGTTTTCAATAGCATCCGCTGTAAAAAGCTGTATAAAGCTTCTAGATCACTTGTAATTTTTCCACAGAGTTTGTCTGTCCACTGAAATTTCTTGGAAAGATATTATTGCAGTATTTTGTCAGCAGAAAAATAAAAAAAAAATAATTCGTTGTTTTGAAAAGTCAACCAGGCACATAAAGGTTGAACAGTGTTTCTGTCACTTCCGGAGCAAAAAACAAAACAAAAAAACCCATAGCTCTCATAAACACAATTTAATTACAGTAACTATAATATTTTTGCTGTGAATATTTACTTGCGCAAAATGCAAGAGATTTGTTTATAACTAGCAATTATTGTTTTTTAAAATGTTGGCTATGACTCAGTATGCTTTTAAATTACATTTTGACACAAACTGACTTATTTAAAAAAGAAAAAAAAAGATGAAATGTAAAATGTCTATGAATACTCCTAAGTTTTAATACAAACTAATTGCTGGCTTCAAACTGATTCGTTGAAATGGACTGTTTGCAAAACTGATTTGCATGAATAATCATATTCCCAGTTCTATCACTCTTTTTTGCTAATGAGGATTAAACCAGAGTTGCTTTTAAAATATTTTATAATGCTCATATTCTGTGCAAGACAAGGAGTGGAAAACTATCAGTCATTCAATATTCACAATATTGCTTATTTTGTATTGGCAAAATCAATGTGAATATGTTAAACACACAATATATTGTAAAATATATAACATAAAAATAATCATTTTTATATATATATAATATTTATATAATAATAATAAATAATAATACTAATATTTATATAAAAATTTTATATAATATAATCAATTCAGTTAACTGTGCTGTATCTCTACGATGAGGCATACATTTTTTTTTAATTTATGGCTAATTATTTCATTCTCAGTTCATTAAGAAATTAGATCTGTGAATATGATTTGGAAAAAAGTGGAAAGTCCACAAACTCAAAAATAAGTCACTTGAGGCTTGACTTGAACTGACACGTTCTCTAGAGAGGTTTAGATGTGATTTGCAACATGATGTTCTGGTGAACTGCTCCCTAAAGGAGGGCAAAGATGTGCAATGTCGAGCTGAAAGTGGGACGCTTGATGAGTGACGCACTAATATCTCATTACTCCGTAATGTCAAGTGTTGATATGTAATCCTCGGGAGCACCTGGAGCGTACTCCACGCTGATTAAAACCAACTCCCTCAGCACAACACGACCTGCGCTGTCGCATCATATATTAACTAAAGAACGAAGCTTTAAAGCCAGAATAACCCCAGATCACCCCTCGCACAGCCGGAATACAGGTCCAGGAAAGTGCCTGTGGGTTTGTAGCTGCACAGACTGACTCACGGGAGTTTAGAGGGGGTTATGCAGCAGGTCTGGATACTCACCTCCACGACACACTTGACCTGCTCCTCCAGATTGCTGATGGCGATTGCATCATCCGCCGTGACTCCTTCTGTTCCAGCGGACAGAGACTGGAGCTGCTTTTCAATGGATGTTCTCTGCTCTGCATGAAGCCTGCAAATAAACATTAATATACATAGTTAATGCAAAAGGTCAACCTTCATAAACCCTTAGGAATTATCTGGAGACATACTTTAATTTGTTCTAAAATATTATCTGACTTGCATCCCTAAAGTCTTAGTAATTGATTGGCAGTAGTATATTTAATCAGTGCTTGATATGGAAAAAAACATGTCGGTAGTCCAGGGAAGTGGGGTGTTTGAGTGTCCTCCCTCGGTTGAAATCATGCTCCTTGGGGGCAACATGTGAGAAGTGCCGGTATGCCGGAAAAAGTGAGGGTATACATACACACGCACACACACGTGAATATCATGAAACAACAATTATATTCTATTGTAGATTTAATTGTCGTTTTTTCATAGTAGTTTTTTTACATGCAAATATTGATGCCGCTGTTATGTTTCATTGCTTAAATAGTGATTGTACTTTAAACTGACAATTAGGGAGCGCAACACCATTTTCAACTAAAAACGGAAAACTTAAGCATTTTGGCCATTCATTTACACCACAACGTCGTTTTGGGGGCCTGAAAACACACACTTATTCAAAGTGCACGTTTTTGAAAACGATACCGTTATCATCTCCGTGTAAATAAAAAAATTAAGTGAATGTGGATCATATGGTCATATGGATGCCATCTTGATTGTCACCACTCTGTAGAAGCCATGCATGTACAGTTTATTTACAAAGTGACATCGCCTTGGCCTGGCATGTATAATACAGTGATTTTAGTAGTTTTCGCAGATCTGTGTGAACGGGGATCTTTTTTTGACAACGTTGTCATCTGTGCGCCAAGCTAAATTTTTTTTTTAAAAACGTTTACATTTTTAGTACATTGCTTTAGTGTAATTGTACCCTCAAATTATGGTGGTAGGTACAAAAGTTTGGTAACACTTTACAATAAGGTTCATTAGTTAACAACCTTAGTTGAATTCCATGAACTAAGAATGAACGGTAACGCTTCCTTTTACAGTCCTGTTACCCATGTACTTACTATGTACTTATTATAGTAATTGTAATTACTGGGTAATAACTAGGTACTAACCCTGAACCTACCCCTAACCCATGTACTTTCCTTATATTAGCCAGTACTTTCTAGGTAAGTACACGTAAGTACTGAACTGTAAAAGGAAGCGTTACCGAATGAACAATACTTTTACAGCATTTATTAATCTTAGCAAATATTAATTTCATCATTTACTAATACATTATTAAAATCAAAGGTTGTATTTGTTAACATTAGTTAATGCACTGTGAACTAATATGAACAAACAATGACAGCTGTGTTTTTATTAACTAACATTAACAAAGATTAATAAATTCTGTAACAAATGTATTGTTCATTGTTAGTTCATGTTAGTTAATACATTAAATAATGTTAACTAATGAACCTTATTGTAAAGTGTTACCAAATGTTTTCTAGACTGAAAATTACTGCAAAACTCTCAAACTTTCTCCCAACAATAAAGTGAATTTACGTAAAGGGTGTCCTGTGATTACCAGAACCACCTCATCTTGCACAGCAGAAGCTGTTAGCACTGACTGACTCAGAAATCAGCAGGAGATCCATTTGCAGCAGCTCTTACCGCTCATTTTCTTTAACCACCTGCTCCAGGCTTGCTTTGACGTCTGTCATCTGCCTCTGAGTGTTTGACAGGGAGAAACAAGTGTGTGCGTGAGTGGTGGGAGGAGGGTGATTGAGAGAGTTTGAGAGAAAGTGTACTCTTGAATGGCAAACTTATTATAAGACAAATTCACTTGATTTGGGATTAAACTGCAATTTATAGCTGACAGCATGAAATCAGCCCCATCAAGCCCTGACAGTTGTAAAATCTCACTGTAAAGCAAGCATTCGTGTGGTGTGAGCGTTTGCGTAGGGTGGTTAGTATAGTGTAAGTCTTCAAGTGTACCTGATAGAACTTGAGCTGCATCTCCATCTGTTGTATGTGTCTGTCATATTCTTCTATTAGAGGAGCCATTAGACTGAAAACACACACCCAGGTCATATAAACAACATCATTATGCAATTAAGATTATATGCTATTAACATTTAGAGTTCCATGGTACTGGATTACATGAAAGTACTTTAAATTTAAAATCACAATAAACAAAGCTTGCCTTTTTAGAAACAGTTCATTATATATATATATATATATATATATATATATATATATATATATATATATATATATATATATATATATATATATATATATACACACACACACACAGAGTGGTGGGCAAAAGTAATGTCAAAAAAAATTATTAAACATTTTTTAAAGATATGGAGTTGTGCTTGGAGCCAAATTGTGTGAATTTGATTTTTGGCCAGGCTGTCATTCAAAGAAATTATGCACACGTGCAAAAACAAGGGGAACCAATGAAATATTAATACCGGTAACTTATTATGTAGTCAATGTTTGCTTTTTCCTTTGCCTAATAAATTATGCATTTTTTGCCTAATAAAATAAAACATGCAGCTGTTGTTTGCATTTTTTGCCAAATTATTTTGTCAGATAAATATAATATATTGACCTTAACCAAGTTTAGTGTTTTGTTATTCCCTAATATTTAAATTTTTAAAGTATTAAAAATATATATAATATAACTGCGTCATACTTTGATGGTTTAATTAAACTTGTAAGATATATAAATAATATCCTTTTAAAATTGCATATTAAATGAAAACAAATACTAAATGTTATGTAATTTTCTAAAGGAAATTGGAATGGTGCTTGTCTTTGTTAATTTCAAACCCTGCTTTGCCTGGTTAAAACAGTAGATGACTTGAGACAGAGACAGAGACAGTTGTTGTAGGTTAGTAACTGGCCATAGGGACTTACCCTCTGTCTGAAAGCCAAGGAGCTGCAGATTCCATGACCACATCATCTGCCTAAAAAAAAAGTTTTAATTTTATTAAGCATCTATATACAACATCCCCAGTGCTTCAAGCCTTTATTATTATTAGGAATTGTTCTGTTTTCCCCCACATCACTCAAAGTTAACTCTGTCAAAATGAAAGTTCTGTCATGCTGTTCCAAACCTGTTTGAAAACCATTCACTTTCATTGTATATAAAAGACAACAATAACAGTGAATAATGACTAAAGCGGTTACACTTCACGTGCCTAACATCTGCTTTTTTTGTTACACAGAAGAAAATAAGGCATACAGATATGGAACAACATGAGGTTGATGGTGATAACAGAATTTTTCATTTATTTATTTTAGCTGTGAACACTTATACTTAACACATTCACTGTGCACCATAAGAGCATTATGTTATTAATGCTAGAGATGATCTACAGATTCAACAAATAAAGCAATAAACAATAAAATTGGCATTTAATCATAAAACTAACCTGTGACACCGAGGAGGGAGGAGGAAATTCATCCTGATATCGACCGAGGACGGAGTTTAAACGATTCACTGATAAGACACAAAACAAAGTTCAAGTGATGTTGAATATGTATGGGTATCTGCACACTATTATTTCTGAGATCTAGCGTGTTTCACCTTGATCTCGTAGAAATTCGACTTCTGTTGTCATTTTTGCGTCTGCAACAGTAATAAACTCTGTTAGGTCAAAGCAAATGCCTTGTAAATATGTATCAACAACAACTATTATAACATTTAGTATGTGCAAAGGGGAACAATTTCCTTTACTGAAGCAGTCGGTTTATACACAGCCAGCGCAAGTGATCCCTGTAGACTGTCTTTGTGCAGGAATATTAGTTTATCATTTAAATATGTTTTTATAGAGTCAGTTAATTCAGTTTAAATGAGTAAACGTGCATTATTAAACTAGATTATTACGAACGTACACGTTCTTCAATAGATTAACTAAGCGAGTGAAAAAGAAGCGAATCTGGCGTGTAATCTCATCAACAGCATTAAGCATCATTGGTATCCAGGTGGAGATTTACCATAAGATTTAACGTTACACTGGCTAACTAGCGGGCTAACGGCTACACTTCAACATTCATAATCAATGGGCTGGACACTTATAAAAACCTTGAATGAATTATAAATGTTTATTTTTTTCGTCGCGTAATATGACGCATTATGAAATAGCAGTAAAACGTAAATAAATATAAGATTAGAAGACCTCGAAGTTATTATAGGTACCTGCAAATCCTTCCGCCTTGTAGTTTAAAGAGCCCATCAGCCAATCAGATTAATCTTCACCGACGCTCAGATTCACCCTCTGAGCCAATCAGACTCATCCTCAAGGACGCGGTGCAACTTATTAAAATGTTCCCGGGAAACTTCAACATGTTTGCGTTCCGTGTAGTTTATGGAGTTCCTCTTTTTTCCATAGTTCTTGAATTGAAGAGCTAACAAGATGGGGCCACTCGATGTGACCGAATAGGGTAATACTTTACTTCATCATTTTGTTTCAATAATTCACTCTTTTATTTACTAACGATTATGTGCCTGACTACTGAAACGTCTGTGGGAGGCTTTGTTGATGTATGCCAGAAATCAGGAAGTGTTCTTCCCATGACATCAAGTCAAGTCACCTTTATTTATATAGCACTTTATACAATACAGATGGTTTCAAAGCAGCTTTACAGCGATAAACAGGGAAATAATGATCAATGATAAACGGAGTTCAATTCAGCTGTCAAAAGCAGCTAAAAAAAACAATAGTGTCATTATTTAGCTCAAGTATGTTCACTGTTGATTCAGTTAGTCAATTATGAAATAAAGCCGAATCAATATTCAAATCAGTATTCCCAGACAGCAACATAATCTCGGCCCATATCCGGGCCACATCTGATACATGTGGATTCCACGCGTACCAGATGTGGACCGGTTCACGGCCTGTCTGGGTTATGACTGAAAATAAAGTGCCCCCAACTAAGCAAGCCTTCTTTTTTTTGGAAGTAACCAGGCTATGTCATGGGGCCAGTTCTCATCTAAATGAATGAACAGGGTGTGATCAGGTGACGTCAGGTGTTATGTTTATGATATCAGATGCATTGCTTATCAATGACTGTCGAACCTTATTGCATATCAGACAGTTCTGTGTCATGAGCAGCTTAAGACGTAATACAGCACAGAACTGGGGATACATCATATATTGACACTTACAAATTTATATATATATGTATATTGAGAACTGAACAAGATAGTCATTTATTAATATTTCAGGTTTAGCTTTAGAAGAAAATAAGATTTTGCCATGCTTAACAGTGTCTGCAGCGGTTGTATTCTCCTGACTGCCATGGAGTTCTTTATCAGACACACCTGGGACAGCGTACCTGTGGATCATAAGCCGGTAAAGATTCGCTTCTCACCTGGCGAGGAAGGTTTGTTAATGCAGGTGACTGCTCCTTTCTTCAATGACCCCCCTGCACCAGCCGGACCACCTGGAGAGCCGTTCCCTGGTCTCTGGGACTATGAGGGTATGTTCATATATACCGTTAATAAAGGCTCAAATCTGGTTTAGAGATTAAGTTTCTTTCTTTCATATGATTATATAACAGATTGTTGGAATCAGCTGATCGTTTTGAATATATACGCATGCAACCCTTGACTGTCTAGATAAATAAAAGTCTGATTTAACTTTGGTGAGAACTTGAATTAGAAGAAAGGTTTATGAAACACTAAGTTCAGATGTTTATCTTTTCCACAATATTTAGTTTGTGCTACTGATTTATTTTTCAGTGGTAGAATCCTTCTTCTTGAACAGCAACACTGAGCAATATCTAGAGGTGGAAGTCTGCCCGTAAGTTAAGCCTACTCTGTTTTTCAGGCCGCTGAAAGTTTTTTCATTGCTAATGTGTAATTGAAATAATATTTTGATATCATATTACAGACATGGACAACACCTTATTCTGCTACTGAATGGAAAACATAATGCGTTCATGGTAAGCAAATTCACACTGTACATCAGTTTATCAAAGGGCTCCTATTATGCTTTTTCACTTTAGTAAGTGTGTAATGTTGCTGTTTGAGCATTAAAAAGATCTGCAAAGTTACAAAGCTCAAAGTCCACTCCAATGGTAGATATTTTTATTTTATTGTTCACCACCCTTTAGGAAAATTAACCTTGGTTTTGTCGATTATTTTTTGTATTACCCTAGTTTTTCAACAAATATCACGATTAAATGGTGGATAACATCGTATCTAAAATGTATAAGAAAAAAAAACACACCACTGTGAAATCCGTGCTTGCAAAGTCCATGCATGAAATCCGTTCTGCACAATTCTCGTTGGTTAAAGAGGTCATCGGATGTGCATTTTCCACAAGTTGGTATGATTCTTTAGGGTCTTCATGTAGAGTTTGTAACATACTGTGGCGCTGACACTGTTTATTCTCTGTTGATTCACCTGCTGTTGGGGGGAGGTGTCCGGGAGGGATATAGTTAAGAGGGAGGGGCTTAAGGACGGAGAAAAGAGAGAAAGACTGTGAGCGGTACAGAGGAAAGTCAGTCTGACGTTACATCTCTTTTTGGGCGTTCATGTCGTTTTTGGGGACAGTTAGGACACCTCCTGATACCCGTGTTAGGCTGTACACGTTCAGGAAATAAACCTTCCAAGCCGTTTGGTGCTTGTAAACCGGATCTTCGTCTCCTGTCTGTTTCTCTGGGAAAGTGCACGACGTTACAATACTTTGGTTAAAATTCCTGTGGTTGTGTAAAACACCCTTTTTACCTCCTCAAAAACAGCTCTGTTCACAGCAACCCGTTTCGGTGCATGTCTCTTTAAATGATAATGAGCAACTGCTCACCCCACCCCTCTCTTCCATGGGGGGTGTCACACAAGACACATAAAGTGCTGCCTTGGCAGACAGTATACAAATTTGCTAATACGGGACAGTCCGTCAGCGGTCTTGGGTGGAGCATGAGCAATATGACATCATATTGCTCAGATTGAGAGTGTTTAGGCTTTTTGAGGATAAAAAAAAAAGGAGTGAATGGATTTTTTTTTTCATTGTATGGTGGTTGTCCACACACTGCAAAGACAAATTTATATGCAAACACCATATAAAAGTGAATTTTGCATCCGATGATCCATTTAACATTCCTAAGTCTGAATCAGGCTTATGGTAAGAGGCGCATTTCGGAAGGAGGGTCTTCAGCAAAACCGGAACGTTCGAGCCAGACGAGGGACAGAGGTGCTGTAATAGTGCAAAATATGTGAAAAATAATGAATTTTTTTAACAATCAAGCATGAAGGCATATTTTAGTACACCCCAAAAACAAAATCAAGACTTCGTAAAAGGGCATAATAGGACCCCTTTAATGTTTTCAGTTTTTAATAAACATTTACAGTCCCATTCAAAATTTTGGGTGGCGGTAAGTTTAATGATTTTGAAAGCAGTCTCTAATCCTCACCACCAAGGCTGTATTTTCTCAAAAATACACAAAAAAAGTAGTGTGTGTGTATACATATATATATATATATATATATGTATGTATGTATGTATACACACACAGATATATACTTTCTTAATAAAATTATTATTATAAAAACAGTAAATGTTTTAATATTAACACTTCAGAAATGCTTAACAAAATAAAATAGTACAGCAGCAAAAAAATATATAGAGTATTATAAAAATGTCCTGATGTCGTTTTTAACCATTAGCTTGTTACCTGTTACAGCAACAACTCCCTATATCATTCCAAGCCAATATAAAGAACAAAAAATGGAAGGGAGAAGCACTTCTGCCTTGGAGGTATTTCCCTCAGGGCATTAATAAGATGAACTCCTACGCCATCCATGGCTCGGGTGCAGGAAGGACTTATGAGTCTCTGTATCCTGTTCCCAAAGAAGACCTACAAGAAGGACAGGGACCAGACTTGTACGTTTAGATATCTCTTAATATTATTTCGGTTTCATTGTATTGCATAATTACTTCACCACGATCTTAACAATTCTTCTCTCATCCGAACAGTCATCGACTTGAGTATTTTCAAGACTTCACTCTGCAAAGCATCATGGGAGAAGACTGGGTTCAGCCAGAATCTGACCTGTGGAATTTAGCAAGCAAATGACCAGCTGAAAATCACAAACCAGCTTTTTAATACAGCAATTACTTGTAATTTGCTTCCATGGCTAAGTTAGAGCACAAACTCCACTGCAGTCTAATCAAAGTTAATGATGTGGCTTGTTTTATTGTGGGTGTAATGGCAATATAATGGCTTTTATTATCACAATTTAATCAATCTTTTTATCAGTAATGCAGCACTAATCTCAGCAGTTAAGCATTCCATCCAGCACCAAGCATCTAGGCTATAGCCTACAATATGTAGCGAATGGGAAATATGTTAATTTTTATACTGAAATGAAATTAATTATTTAAAAATGGAGATGTTAAATGTGGAAATAGAACATTAAATAAACAAATGATAACATTCAACTTTGTTGGAGCTTGGAAACAACAGATTGCATGGACTATCGCATTGCTGAAACATGGTGAAGAGTCTTCCACGAGTTGCATAGAAAAATGAGTAGCTATATAACTATCAGGTTTACGTGCCTTCTACCATAAGATGTTCCTTTTTATGTTTTAGTAGGTCTGTCGCAATATTAAAATAGGTTTTGTGCAACTTTGAATATCTGACAGACTTGACAGTATCTGGAGTAGCCTAAAACGTATAGCAATGATAGCCTTAAAACCTCTTCAAAAAACAGCCGAGCTGTTAACTCTCTCAGCAAACCCATGCGTATAATCAATAGGCGCTGCGTAAACTACAAATTAGCGGCTAATAAGACGGAACACGGGTTTATAATTACAGCCGCTGTCTGTTAAATGAATATTAACAGTGACTAATTACAGAGCCGCTGCTCTCGATCTCCCTGACCCCTGACTGGAGCGCGCACTGCGGGCGTGAGCTGAATGCGCGCTCTCTGTATCCGGGAGCGAAGGTCACTGCAAGGCCCGGATGTGGCACGCGCCTACTTGCACGCCCAGGTAGGCACAATTAAAATGAGGACAAATAATATATACTTTAATTTATTATTATTTCATTGTAATACTAAAACGCTGTGAGACAATAACTTTATAAATCAATAACATTTAAAATATCGTCACTGTCTGGCAGAAACCTTGTATAATCTCCATATTTCGTCATAAATCATTGCTATTGGTCAGCCTTTTCTTCTGTTTGTGGATTTTGCAAACATTAAAAAGCATTTAAAACAGCTTGTGACTAAACCTCAAACTGATTATATTACACATTATGTGTGAACATAGTGTGTGAATTAATAAACGTATTAATTATTTAAATATTATGAGTAACATAAAAAAAAAAACATCTGTTGGGAATGCAGGGAGACACTCCAGGACAAACACCTAATATATTTAGCCTAAATGAATAAATAGATAAAAATAGAAACCAATAGAAAGAATCACATCCATGGGCCGCACTCAAATTACACACACAGACTCGGAGTAATCGCATTTGTTCTCTCCACATGCAATCTATTCACTGGGGGAAATAGCAGAGTACAAATTGCTTCTTGTTAGGAGCAGAGCGAAGTCAATCAGATGGCCTTCCACTCATGTTTTTTAAATCAGGGAGAATTTATGCGCTGACATTTTATAATTGATAGGAGGCTTGTTCAAAACTGAATGGGATTGGGCACTGGCATGTTTTCAGTTCTATTTCTGCGAGTTGAACACCGTTAGCCGCACAGAAAAGGAATTGATTTAATCGAATACACATTAGATACAACTCTGAATGCCGAAGGGAGGGGGGAATATTGTCACTTCCTTTTTTTTTAAAAAAAAAGAGAATGAATCATGTTTGTCATTTGATTCCATTATATCCATAATGGACCTGTTTACCTGTCGCTTTTGCCCCTTCCATCCATTTGTCACAGGCAGGTAATATCTGCACTAAAATATTGATTCCCATCTATTCGAAAACACATTAACAAACAAATATTTTGAACACAGGGACCTGCAATAGTGTCTAGTGGCACTTTTTTTTTTTTTAATATGAGAGATAATTTTGATATATATTTTTGTTTTGTTCATCACTAAAAAATATCAATCATTGCGCTCCGAGCTCCGAAAATGTGTTTCCATGGCAACAAAAGCTTTTCAGGATAAAAGGGGCTGTCAGGAAGAATATTTTCCTTTATAACTCAGTCATAATCATAAACATTAGTACAATACACTCTCTCTCACGCACGCACATCAGTGAAGCCCATTAAAGGCCACTATAAAAGGAGGCTTAAAAGTAAAGGATGACAAAGAACCACGCTCGCAAAGTGGAGGTTATTTTTACAGATTTTAAGGGGAGGGGAAGATGATAAATCTGAGTTGGGAGGCAGTAATAAGAGAGGATGGCAGGCAACACAACATTATCAGGCTGTTTGTGCTGTGTGGAAGTGCTGGAGGGGGGAGGGCCGCTGAGGAGAGCCTTTACCCGCACGACACCCTCTGATTGATAGTGGAATAAAGGTCGTTCCGTGTGATGAATGAATATTTCGATATAACCCAATCACGGTGCACAGGAAAACGAATGACTGGATGAGAACAAGATGAGCCGGTCCACTGAGGGCACGGCACGCGGGGCCAGCAGAGACACTAAATCACAAAATAACAGAATTGAACTTTATGTGGCCAGAAATGGGAGAGCTTGTGGAGAGACGGGGTTGAAAATGTGACCTGGATACTCTCAGCTTTTCTGTCAATACTAAATCCATGAAGAAAGGGAAAGAGGCGGGGGAGAAGCAAGAGATGGAGCCAAGAGTCTTTTCCGCTAGACATTTAGAGGTCATGTTTTAAAGCGAACGCGGTAACTGTGGAGTTGTTCATAAAGTGGTTAACTCGCAGTGAGATGTTTCGTTTGTGCACGAGGGTCAGTTTGATGGAATATCAGCTCTCATTTGTCTGAGAGCCACAGATGGCTGAGCTGAAGACAAATGCCGCAGTTAGACAGCCAAAACAACATTTTCGTCCTGATGTGCACAGCATTGTATTGATTAATATCACTGACAAAACGAACTAGCTGAAGAACGGTTACGCACTGATGGGAAATGAAAAGCCTGCAAGGATGAGATAAGTATCTGTGATTGCGCATTAGATGTCAAGTGACTCACTGAATCATTCAACTCAACCGATTCTTTCAAAGCACTCAGGCTGCGTCCAAAATAAGTACGATATTTTGTATGGGTTTTTATTAGCCACTAGAAAAATAACGGTTAAAGTTTTTGTGCTACAATCCAGTGTGTTTTTGAATAAAAATATGATAAGATAAGCTGTTTTGTACTGCTAAATGAATGCGGATGACACCGGATTCAATTGAAAAAATGGCCATGGCGTTATGTTAAAAATACACACTGCACTATTTGAGGGGACAGACATTTGTAGTGGTGTCTAAAACCACAGTGGACATTATCAAGTGTACTCATTCAATCCCATAATGCACCTAAATAAAGAGAGCAAAAACTATACACTCAACAGCTACGTCTTGCAAGAAGATAGTGTCCGGCTGACTAATGCGCTCACTCGTTTTTGTTCACTCATTCAGTGAACTATATTAGTGGAGTAATGTAGTGAATGAGGAAATAGGGGTGATTTCGGATACAGCCCTTAATTCAGAAACGAAACAAGTATAAGGGAGTAATTGAATTATTCACTCAACCGAATAGTTCAAAAACACTGGGTTCATTCAGGAACACCGGAGACACACATACTGACTTGATTCTGCTGTGGCTATTTTTGTTGGCAAAGCAAAAAACGACAAGGTATTTGGCAATATTGTGTCTAAAATGTAAGTTACTTAATATTATTGTTAATTATAAAAGTAATATCACGATCACAAATATTCTATCCTGTTATGTCTTGTTTTGTAATGTGTCAGATGGTCTTTGTTACTGCATGTATACCTGAATATCTCTTAGATGACTATAGCCATTTTGAAAGATTTCAAATTAATTGTTGAATAAGGCTTAACAAAACATTAAATAACCCTTTTGAAAAAACGTCAACAATGGAAAATCATCAATTAGTTGATCAAGTCTCATTGCTTAATTAACAGAAAATGTCTTAGACATCTTTTCCTTTTCTTAATTAAAAAAGTCCACACAAACACAAAATAAGAGGCCATTATTTGCTTGTCAAAAACTGTCATATGTTTAAGGCATCATAATGCGGGATGCGGGTGTCTGAACCTGAGAGAGAGAGAGAGAGGGGGGAGAGGGGGGAGAGGGGGAGGGGGAGAGGGAGAGGGGGAGAGGGGGAGAGGAGGGGGGGGGATTTATTATTGCTTTTCCTTAGTCATTTGCTTCTTTATCTTCTGTGGTGATATCAGAATGCCACAGAGTAGATATGGCAGGCAAAAGATAAAACTGAAACGTCTCACTCCAGTTAACTCTGTGCACTTTCTGCCAACAGAAATGTTCATCTGCATGTCCAATAGGATCATCTCTTGCACTCAGATTAAGGTCAGAAAAGCTCAGACATATCTTCGCACTTTTAGTCCTCTTTTCTTTTTGTGTCACTTTGCTTTCTGACACTGTACAATCTGTCTCACGGCATGAGTTTCTCAGCATTATCCAATTATCTACGAGGTAAGGCATGTACCGCTCAGGTTGCTACCTTGACAAAATCAATAAGCATTCGTAATGTCTAATACTACTGTCTTCTGAGCACACTGTGATCCTCGGTAAAGAGAAGAAATAAAAAAGACAAATGACAATAAAGCAAGTTCAATTCGGCTCCGTGAATCAAAACAAATAAGGTTTTTTATAGAGTATGCTGAAATTATTCAGTGTTATGAACACAACACCCAGAGTACAGGAAGTAATGGGCCATTACAGGAAAAAGAAATGTCCATTTACACAGTACAAATGATGGGAAAGGTCCATGCACTGCTGGCATCTTCCACAAATAGCATTAGAGCCACAAATTCCATGATTTTGGTTGTGAGAGCTAGATGAACGATTAAAAAAGTTAAAGTAACTAGAATGAAAAGTAAATAGTTTTCAATCCATCAAAAGTCTATGCCCACCCCCTAAAAATGGCTTGTATCAAATAATTAAAATTATAAAACAATGTCATTATTTTGAA